TCCGAAGATGAATCCCAATTTACTGAAATTTGCGCGCCACGGTTGCCCACTGCATTGCATCATACAGTGCATCAAGAAAAGAAAAGGGATCATCTCGTTCCTGAGCTTTTTAAAATTTACAATAGATACGATATTAAATACGTCAACGAGTTCGACATTGCCGAGAAATTGATCGGGTTCGACCAGGATCTTAATATTCTCGACCCAAAAACAGGTGATTCTCTATTGCATTTGGCTGTGAGATTCAGACACAAGATAGTGGTGTCAATGTTGTTGAGTCAAGGCGCTGATCCTAATATACGCAACTTGGAGAAATTTACTCCTCTGCTCGAAATGTGCAGTGAATTGTATGACAATTTTTTCAACGATCATGAAGACAGTCTAACAACATCCGATGATATTAGGTTTTGCATAAAGAATTTAGTGCCACTGCTGTTGAGTAATCGCGCAAATCCAACTTTCGTTAATTACGATAAAAGAACACCGTTACATATTTTATGTATCATTTATCCCGACGATGACTTGGAAGAGATATTCTTCAAATGTATTTCCAAAAAGAAAAGACGAATGCTACTTCGTGCTCGAGATAATAAAGGTGACACAGCATTACACTTGGCTGCCCTGCACGGTAAGAAGAAAATGGCCGAAGCATTGCTAAAAAAGGGAGCGTGTCCTAATGTGACGAATAAAGTGGGCGAAACCCCTTTGCTGGCTTATCTATCAAGAAGCGATGTCGAACTTGAGTTTTTCAAGATGATTTTGGATCGTCAGAAGGACGAGATCATCGATCTTCAGCCCAAACTAGCAAGTAAAACAGCATTGCATCGTGCTTTTCTCAAAGATAACGTGGAAGTCATCAAATTACTGCTGAAAAAGAACGCCAATCCGCTTTTATTCGACACCTCTGGAAATACATGTCTGCACGACATTTGTTCAGGAAAAAACCGCGCTGAAAGAGAAGATTTGTTGAAGATCTACTTCGAACATTGCGACGAAAAGCATCCGCAAGTAGTGACTATTGATAAGATAAACGTTAGGGGCTGGACACCTCTACACTATGCTGTATTTTACGACTTGAAACCAGAGGTCATCAATGTGCTGCTAAACAGAGGCGCCAATCCGAACTTGGCCAATGACCAAGACCATACTACACTGCACTTGGCTCTAAGGAACGGCTCAAGGGACATGTCCGAGTTTCTATTACGTAATAAAGCTGATCCAAATTCAGCCGATTTAGAAGGACTAACACCTCTGCACACTATCGTCGAAAGTTCATCTGACGATGAAGAATTAATGAAGACATTTTTTACTATCAACGGACAATTAAGGAAACCAGTGCGGATCGACGCACGCGATAAGTTGGGTAATGCACCGCTGCACTGCGCTCTGCGCAACGGCGAAAAGAACGTGGCTAAACTTTTGCTGAGAAATGGCGCCAATCCGAAGTCGACCAACGAGGAAGGATTGACACCTCTCCATATAATTTGCCAGAGAATCTACGACGATGAATTATTGGAGCTATTTTTCAAGGTCAACGACGAAATGAAGCAGGAGTTGGAGGTCGACGCCCTGGACGAGTTGGGCCGGACCCCACTGCAATGGGCTGTAGCAAATCTTTTGCCGAAAACTATTAACATACTCTTGGATCGTGGCGCCAATTTGACCAGCTTCGTTTTTCCCACTATGAATTACTTCGTTAAAGGATTGAAACGAAAATTTGCCGAAAGTAATTGCTCTTTTAAATTGAGACTAATGTCCGGCGCTTTGGCCGTTGTCGAACTCCTGGAGAAAAGAGGATATGAGCTGAACTTGAGCGGTGCTCAGACGATCATACAATTTTTCGCCGAGTATGAATTGTACGGGTCGCCTGAAAACGTTGGGTACAATAACGAGGATTTCGTTAGAGCACAACGTCAAATTATGATAACGCCGAGCTTATCACTTTACAACCTGATCCAGTTAGGACCGAAAAAGGCGGCGAATAGACTCAAATACATGGACTTGTTCGATTTTGCACGCTCCGATCGATTGTCATTCATCCGCAATCAGAATATTTTTACTGACCAGCTGAGTAAAATAGCAACGAGGATATTTTTAAATAACTGGGCAGTGGAATGTTTCGCTATAGTGACGAACGATCGGCTGAAGTTTGATTGCATGGGCTCGATCTTCGACATGCTAACGAACGAAGATATAGGTAATATTTGCTTGGCGGCAAAAATCTCGTGATGGGAATTGGTACGTGGCTGATTCTCTGTCTACTTACAACCCCAAAAGTGTCATGCATTTGGCATGATAAAGATATCTCCTAAATTGCTTTCTGTACGAGGAAGCTCTGTGATAGACTGGAGTCAATTCGGTTTACATATTCGTAAACTGGATTTAATTTTAAACGAATGTCTGTGTGCGTGTGTGTGCCGAACAAATCAAGTTACTTTCTGACACACAAGTAAGCTGAGTTATTGCTGTTCATAGAAAAAAATTTGTTGATGTTTCTTCTAACAAGTATGAATGAATTTTTACTAATTTCAAGTACATGTAAAAAAAAATATAAATAAAAACAGTGTTTTGTTGCAAGCTCTTTGTCGATGACTTGGCAGCGTTTTTTTTTTTAATGTTTTGATGGTTTTTACCGTCACGAAAAATCCGAGAGTACTGCAAATAGTGTATAACAAAGGCTCGAAAAGCATAAAATAGCCAAAAATATCCTGCCTTCGACTCTTCGATGCTCTCGCATTTTTCAAATAAATCAAATTGTAATAAATTAAAAAAAATAAAATGTTATTTCAACCCAAGTTCCTACTTTATCGTTATTTATTGAGAAAAACATCTGCAACTAGTCAGCAGTCGCCTATTTCCCCCCTTACCTTTAAAAACACATGTAATATTAGTTCATCGCGACAAATATTTATTTACAAAACATCGAGCATGCAGCTTATCTAATCGAATCGCCGCTCTCCGCATCGGCGTCGCGCGAGAGAGTCCGAGTGTATATATATGTAAGGCGATTTATGTAACCGCGACAGACGACAAGTCGAACTAATTGCGATTCTCGTGCAAAATAAAAAAGAAAAAAAAGGCGAGAAAGAAAAAACGGTAAAGTGCAGCTTATACGATTGAATAATTCATGGCGCTTTATCTAACTTCTCACGAGATTACGGTGTATTGTAATGCACGTTACGCACGCGTACAGATGCGCTAAAGCGTGCGCGATATCAATTTTAACAATAAACAATTATATGCATCACATATTCGAGAACCGTTTACAAGCCGGTAGTATGCGTAGGCGAGGATCGATGTTTTTATTCGACACAAAGTCGATGAAAGATACATATCACACTCGAGACATCGTCGCGCGCGCTTGCAGCAAAATCGAGTTGACGTATACACGGTCTTAATCTCTCTCTGTCAATCGCGAATATATATATATGAAGAATCCGCAGCCGACGATATCGTTGTTATTATAAATCATATACAAGTAATCCGGTGCGCACACGTGTGTGCATACACGAACTGCAAGAAGAAAAAAATTTCATCGGACGCTGTAACAAGCTTATCGCGTATTACGCTGCCCGGGTAATACCTAGGATACATACAATAATCTGCTTGTTTTGGTCGTTGGCCATAATATATACGATATATTATAACCTCTGTCGCGGCGAGGGTGTGTGCTGTAACCTTGCGAGCGTCGAGTCGAGAGTATGACATTTCCGCACTTTTTTCTTCCATCGTTATTGAAGAAATACGTCGCGACTGCTATGGCATGAGAGAGAGGACGAGTCTCCGTGGTAGAGAGAAAATCAACGTTGAGTCAAGTCGACGATGCGAAAATAACAACAGGCGCCTCGGACACCACTGCTGTCTTTATCCATAAGAAGAATGAGTTGAGTATACTCGAGGATAACTGTTTTTTCCCTCTCGACTCGCCCGTTAATCATATCCCCTTCAAAATAAAAAAAAAGGCAACAATCGTCAACAATGCCTCGCTTCGGCGCATCGCAAACAGCAGCAGCAACAACAGCCGCATCATCATCATCATCAACAACAGCTGTGCTCGTCTTGCGCTCGCTCGAGCCTCAACAACGGTAACCAAAAGAACGTCAACTCGTGCGGCACCCTGGCGTCGAGCATCACCGTCCAGCTGCAGCCGAGCGCGGCCGGTCGCGCCTTCGCCAGCGTCAAGCGATGCCTGCGCATGATCTTCTACCTGGCCACGAGTCTGTGCCTGTCCTACGCCGCCTGGTTCCTCTACGATCAGTTCTTCGACTGTCTGTGGGCGAGCGCCCAGGGACTGGTGTACACGAGCCTGGCTCTGCTGGCCAGCAGCGGTGCCCTGCTGGCGGTCTGCAAGGACGGCGAGTTCAGCGTCGAGTCGAGATTGCTCTACTGACTGAGCTTTATATTTTTGTTACGAATGGAGATACGCGACATTTTGGCCGGCAATAAATAAATCGTCTGCATCACTTGAATCGCTCGCATTCTGCGTTATTTTCCTTCTCCTTTTTCTGCTGTTATTGTTGTTGCCTCTCTAGATAGAGAGACCGGAGTCGCTCTTCTTACGCGCGCACGATAATCAACTCTTGATTAATTCAATCGACTCGCGTCGAGGAGTCTCATTTCGAGCAATAGCTCGAGAGCGAGAGAGAGAGAGAGACTCGAGTGCACTTTTAAGTAATGGAATTCGACGAAGGCTTTTATATACGCTGCAGCTCTCGTAATTGCAATAGCGAGCGTGCGCCCGTTCACAGCTCGCAATTTAAAAAAAAAAATGTATATATACATCACGCGCGCGCGTGCATCCAAGTAGAGCTTCGCTATCTTGTACATATATATAACATAAACTCGCTTCCGTTTGATTCTGGAGCAGCTCGTAAATACAGCGCATACAGCAGCATCGACAATAGAACTAAAACTATTTAAAATGATAATATAGACGCAAATTTCTGAAAGTTCGAGCGAATCGATCATCTTTGTTTGTTGTTTGTTTTGTCGCACTACAGCCGGTGGCGATTCCAAGGACAGCGATGTGGAGATGGTGCCGCCCGACGGCGGCTGGGGCTGGTTCGTCCTCATCGCGGCCGTCATGGTCAACTTCCTCATTCCCGGCGGCATCAAGTCCTTCGGCGTCCTCTACAAGGCCTTCCTGCAGAACTTCAACGCCAACGAGTCGACCGGCTCCTGGATTCCTGCCTTGTGTTACTTTTTGTACAGTTCCTTGGGTAAGCCACCTCTCTGTATCTTATATCACGCGTTAAAAAATAAAGAGACGTTATCTAAAATTGCTCGTATCCAAAAAAACAGGACCACTATCCAGCGTGTTGTCGGTCAAGTACTCGTACCGCACCGTCACCCTGGTCGGCGGCACGTTCGCCGCCGTGGGCATGATGCTCAGCTACTTCGCCACCTCGATCCAGTTCCTCTACGTGAGCTACGGAATCTTCGTGGGGATCGGGGCGGGTCTGGCCTTCCCGCCCACGGTCTACATCACCACGTCGTACTTCGTGCGGCTGCGAGGTCTGGCCAACGGCTTCTGCATATCGGGCAGCGCCCTCGGCTCCATCATCATGCCGCCGGTGATCACCCACATGCTGCGAACCTTCAGCGTGCGCGGCGTCATCCTCATAATGGGCGCGCTCACCCTCAACACCTGGGCCTGCGCGCTGCTCTATCAGCCGCTGGAGAAGCATCTGATACCGCGGAAAAAGGACAACTCGGGCAAGGAAGAGGAGGAGGCCTTGAGACCGCTGGCCGAGGCCGAGGAAGACGACGAGGAGGAGGAGAAGGAAAAGGGCGAGAAGGATAACAAGGATAAGGATGCCGAAGATAAGAAGGACAAGGAGACGGCGAAAGGCCCGGAGGTCGACATCGCCGTGACATCGCCCGAGCAGGAGGACAAGCCAGCCATCACCTCGCCCACGAGTCCGATGAGCAACGCCGAGAACTCGTCGGTGGCCGCGGCGCAGATGGCCGCCGAGGTCACCCCCGTGCCCAAGTCGGCCTCGAGCGTCGCCCTCGAGAACTACTACAACAAGCAGCCGCCGCCGCACAGTCGGCTGCGCAAGATCAGCATGCCCTCGCACATGGCCGGCCAGATGCACAGCACGCCGGTGCTCACGTCGCACCAGCAGTACCAGCTGCACCACATGCACCAGCAGCGACCGACTCGCCGCTCGACCACCAGCCGACCGCCCCTCATGTCGCCCAGTCAGTCGTCCTTCAACTACATCAGCACCCCCTATCACGGGAGCACTTTGACCGCTCTGCATCCCGAGTTCGCCTCGACCCTCACGCTCAACGCTCTGTCGTCGACCTTCAGACACAAGACGCCCGAGAAGAACGCCAAGAAGGACGCCGTGGACGTCGACGAGCAGAACCAGAACAAGTTCTTCGACTACAGACTGCTCCTGGACCCGATGTATCTGGTCATTCTCATCTCCAACTCGACCAACGCCATCAGCTACACCAACTTCGTCGTCGTGCTGACCATCTACGCGGACAAGTATCTGGGCTTCACCGATGCTCAGGCTTCCTTGTTGCTCACCATCATCTCGGCCTTCGATCTCATCGGTGGGTCCTAAAGTTTCTTCGAAAATTGCATTATCCGCTTCGATCGACGTATAACATTTATTAACGTTATCAATGCTTTTTTGTGTTCGTAGGTCGCGTGGGTGGTGCCGCCTTGTCCGACACCAAGCTCATGCCCAAGCACTTCTACTTCGTCGGCGGCCTCTTCGTCTCCGGCATCTCCCTGGCCGTGCTACCGATCGGCGTGAGCTTCTACGAGGTGGCCTTCTACTGCAGCGTGTTCGGCCTCGCCTCGGGCATCTACGTGGGCGTCACGGCCGTCGTCATGGCCGACATGCTAGGCGTGGAGAAGCTCACCTCGTCCTACGGCATATCGCTCTTCGTCAACGGCGTCCTTCAACTCGTCGGCCCGCCGATCTGCAGCAAGCTCGCCGAGGTCTTCGGCTGGGGCCCGATCTTCACGGCCCTCGGCATCGTGCTCGTGGTCGGGGCCGGCCTCTGGGGCTTCGTGCCCTTCATCAGAGTGCGCCAGGAGCGCGCCAGACGCGCCCAGCTCGAGATCGGCAGCAACATCTAGCGCCGATTGTCGTCCGACGACGCCTGCGTGACGTCCTCCGAGCGAACGTTGAAAAAAACCGATGATTTCGCGGCGAGCAGCAGCTGCTCCGACTCGCCGATTTATCACATCAATATTGGCTCGTGATCGTAGTGGAGAGATGCGTGCGATGATGGACCGCGAGCCGACGCGCCGTCCAGTTAGGCGGCGACGCGTTCGTTTTTTTCCTCCGGAGTAGAGTTTTGTAAACGCAGGAGTCGTTTTCGGAGCGAGAGAAAGAATTTTTCTACCGCAAAGTCTTGAATGGGTTTCAATAGTTGCGATAAAATTTAAGTGGCTTATCCTTCTTGCGCAAGCTGTACTACGAGCTCGCGAAATCATGCGCTTGGTACAGCGATGATTTCCTTCGAGGCTCTCTTTTTCCATATTTTTTTACTCATTTTATTGTACGTACGATATATACATGTGATAAAAGATATTTTGCATGTTCACCAAGATTCAATCAAGTTGATTGCTGTATAGATACACTCACACACTGTCCGCGCGCAGTAAATATTATAAAGTATATAACTTCAAACATATCATAACAGAAACAAAGGCACGAGCAACTAAATAAATAAGTATGTTCGAAGGACCAAAAAACGTTGCTCGTACCTCGTAATCTAACATAATGTATTGTTCCGCATCGTGATTGTTGATAATGCTTGAAAATGAAAGTCAATTCATTGTCATGGAAGTGCATCGGCAACATTGACACATTTTCTAAAGTGCCTGCGAGTAAATAGATTATGTAACAAAATCTAGTGCTTTAGAGAAACTTTGATCGAGTCACTGGATATTTTAATAAATTTAGGAAATAATGAAAAATAATTACATTATAACTCTTTCTATTTCTGTAAAGAATTGAAAGTTCATTTATTTTGTTTCATTTTTTATTGAATAAGATATAATGCCCGTTCGATACTGCCGACTACACTGACGGTTGCCAAGCGAATGAGAAATTTGCTATTTCATGTGAATTTAATAATGCGCCAAAACGTCGAGATATCATTGAAAGATATGAATGTTGCGTGAATTGTTTTATTGTTTTCCCCCCAACGTGACCATTGAAAAACAGACAAAAAGTTAATTGAATATTCTGACGGAACGAATAATTTTCAAGCTGTTTCCTCTCCAAGTCTAACTAAATCACAATTGTAAGATAACGATTTATATATATTTTTAATCTAACAACAAACAAGCACAGAATATTTTATATGATCGTCTAGATTTTATTATAATGTAAAAGAAGTGAAAGGAAGAATTGCGTATAGTACTGAAGTATTCATACATTATTTTATTTTCTTTATTTTTTAAATCTACATTCAACGCGCGTGTGACGCCATTGTTATCGTTATTATGTTGACGTTACGATAATATGTTAAAAGGATATTTTTTTATCAGTCTATCGGAAATGTATGCGTAAACTGGTTATGCATCACTTACAACAATTTCAGTATTTTCGGTAGTTTTATTTTTAATGCAGCCATTGAGAGAATTAAATTTTATATTTTTAATATTAATTTTTAATTATATTAGTCTTTAAAAAGTAAGTATTAGAACGTCAATTTTTAAAAAATTTATCAATTATTGTTCTCATCGCTTTAATGATTTATTTTGAACTTTTTTATTCGTGCAAACCATTTTTTGGGATAAAAAAATCAGACGCCTTATTAGTGTATCAAAATCTTTTAGGTAGTTGAATTGAATAGTGTCAAAGATTTGAATAAATTACCTTCGATGAACAAACTTGCAATCTTAGAGCTTTTTTCTGTACTTCCTACGATGTACAAATGATACAGTTTTTTGTGTATTTTGGAGCAAAGTGTACCAATTCTAGTTTACTGCAGATGCTGGAGCACAAAAAATTTAGCGTCTGAAAAAAACCATCGATTGGCACAATATCTCGACTGCACTCAGCAAGTAGAAAGTACTTATATTTATAAGCGGAGCGTAGCAATATGATAAAACGCAATGTCGAGGTTCAATTTTTCAATGTTTTATTAATACTCCGATGATATTTGTAAATAAAAAACGTATTTTGTAAAAAAAAAAGAGCACAACTTCAAGTAATAATGCACACGACGAGAGAATTACGCAATGTATTGTATTGTAAATTATGTAAAGCCGTACATTCATAAGCAAATAATTGTACAATTTTACGTATAATATGTATAGTATTTTAAAAATCTTAATAATTCGATGTTTTTGCTCGAAAAACTCGAGAGAACTCAATAGGCTAGGATATAAGGATATGTATGATATTAAGCGATAAACTTTTATTGATAATGAGAATAAAGCTGAGGTGCGTTGAATTACTTTATAATTTAGGTCTTTAAAATGAATGTTGCTAAAATAGTAATGAATTGTAAGATGACATTCGTCAAGAGAACATGTTGATATCCAGGTGTCATAAATCTAATGGTTTCACCGAAACTTTTTTTGCGAATAAAAACCAGACTAAACGTCGCCTATGATAATTCTAATCATTCTTTCTTTTCAACTTGCCTTATCACTGTTTTGAACAAGTAAAAAAAAATAAGAACTTAGAAATTAAAAAATAAAAAATCAATTTTATACAAAACATTTATTTACTTTGCGTTATAATATAAGAATACATTATTGTACGGAGCTTTCAATGATTGTTCAAATTAATTTAAGTAAGAAATCGAAGTACATCATGTACTCTCTTCATTATGACTTTTTCTGCTTAAAGAAAAATATTCAATTTTTTTTTATTATTATTATATTCGAACGAGTATATTTCATAATGAGTTAAAGCTCGGTTTTTGTCTTTCTAATCCATTGCGTTAAACACGAATAACTTAATGGTTAGTTCATTTTGACTATTTCGTAGTTGAATATTTAAAACTACGGATAACTATTTACAAATAACCTATATGTTGGTGTTTGTTCGTAACCGTCATAATACGAACGACTTATTATAATCTACAATTAGCTTTTTTTTATAAACATTATAAATACAATATAGGTACATGATTCAATCAGGTATAATGAAACGATGATCAGACTTGATATTTCTGTACATTTTGTTTGGTTCGAGTCATCTTTTGCCGAGTTTAAGGAGATTACAGTGCCAGCCTAAAAATCAAATGTTCAACCTCGTCATCTGAAACTCTCACCGAATGATTCTCTAAAAGGCTTTTAATGAAAGATTCAGTAAAAATTTCAGAGAATAAGCTTGAACATATGACTTTCGGGCTAGCTTGGGCATCCCCTCAAAACGCAAGCGTTCTTGGTTTTTTTATATCTCGCTCTGGAGAGCAAGGTTCTGGGCTCGGTCGTTTCTTGGCTGGCGACCTGGCGATCGGGCTTTTTTGAACTGTAGTCGGGCTCTTTCCAAGTTTTTTATTTGGCGATGTTACTTTATTCACAATATTATTATTATTATTATTATCGGTGCATGGAGCCAATGACTGTAACATTCTCGTGACGTCCTTGTCGCTCAACCTCCAAACGATGTCTTCGGCGCATAAGAATGGCAAGCGATAACTTGAGATTTCCATGAGAGAGTACGTGGCCTCGACAGACATCTTGAGCTTACGCTGGAATCTCAACTTCAAAAGATAACCGTAATTCGGATAATCTTGGTCAAATGTAGGGCTCGCCAGAACTTTACGGAGTCGGACCCTCGATTCGCTTCCTTGGAGGCAATTCGCATTCATTATGATACCTCTGATTCCTAATTTATCCATTCGATTTATTTCCGCTTGGCACTCCTCGGTCGGATCGAGGTCTTTAACGTCGCCGTCACATTCGACTCGGTAAAGCTCACACTTACTCGCATACATCTGTTTGGTCTTCTCGTTCGTACGTTTGGGATCCAGCAGCTCGTCCTGCTTCATGCGTCGTAGAATCAATTTGCCGGGGGCAGAGGTGATGTCAAATTTAATCTTGTGAGGTGCCAACGTGCTAACTGAGGCATCATAGCTCAAGAGCATCTCGACCAGTCTCAGTGTATTTTGCAAACTGTGATTGCCGAAACACGCGTAAGCCAGGGGCGTCAATCCGTGTACGTTGGCAGAATCGACATCTGTACCCATATTTATGAGCCTCTCGGCTAATTTGGCACTCTCTTCGTCCTCGGCCTTACTCTCGCGAAACCTCTCGGAAACAATATGTAAAATCGTTTCTTGCGACTTCGTCAGTACATGTGGATCAGCACCTATGTCTAATAACCAATGAGCAACTTCAAAATGCCCATACCAAATGGCCAAATGGATTGGAGCCCAGCCATTGTATAATTTTGAATTTAAACTAATGACTTGGTTAATTATACAAGGGGATTCTTGTGCCATAACTTTGAGTTCTTCGAGGTGGCCTAATGCACATTTCATATGAAACTTGGTTATACCCCATTCAACAAACTTTGGAGAAGTTGTGTGTTCTTCAATGTTTAATAAAAGGGCTTCTCTAATTTCTTTTGTTCCAGGTTTTTGTTCTTCATAGCGCCACTGATCCATGTTTGAAATTGGTGTAACATACTGTGAATTTTGAATAGAGACATCTGCACCTTGCTTTAATAGAAAAAGCACAACTTTTTTGAAGCGGCGTTGAACAGCATAATGTAATGCTGTATTTTCCTCTTTATCTTCAATAAGATTATTTACGGATACGCCAGATGCCAGAGCTTGTTCAAAAGCTGCAATTATTCTTTCTTCATATTTTTTTGATTTGTTTTTGTTGAATATCTTCTTAGTCAAAGGTAATGTTATTTGCATAACCATGGTGTCTTTTTATATGTACAATTGATCCTGTCTTGAAAATTACTTAACTAAAATGATTTTAGCATGTACGTCAAGTTCTCCTTATAATCCTACTGAAAAAAATAATGTTTTAAAATCGTAATTTCATAAATGAAATAACTATGATTAATAAACTAACCTGCAGAAAGTTCCTGCAAATCAATAATCTGAGCGTATACCTCTAGACAAACTTCTTTGCAGAACGATAATAACCTAAAAGAAATTTGATTCATGAATACAAGATGACAGTCACGGCAAAGTTAAAGACAAAAGTCGATCGCACATCATACAGCCGTTTTATTTTAGTCGTTAAAGTAAATATAAACAAATACACATCACCATTGATGGTAAAGTATTTGTTTATAAGTTTGTGAAAGTTTGATCAAAGAAGGCTCTGTCTACGTTATGAGAAATTATTTTCTTTTACCAACGATTATTGGCCAAATTAATTTTCTAATTTGCCAAGATTTTCGATCGTTTTCTCAATCAGAATTGGTCGCTACAGCAAACGAAATTCAGAAATCTCGTTTTTTTGTTGATTTTTTTGGAGACATGCAACATTGTTCCAGATTAGATAGATAAAACGATAATTTTTGAAAGCACAAACGGCGACTCAAGTGCGAAATAAATTATTCCATACTCACCACTGCGGAGATAATAAATATGTCGCTTGAGAGAAGTAATTGTGTGTTCCTGGAAGATCAGTGCGGCTGTTCGGAGGATGAAAAAAAAGATGCCACCGCACTAACTCACACAAAGATCGAGTTTTTACAATAGAAATAAACGAGAGAAATTTGTACTTGGAAATATCGTCGTCTGCATCGACACTAAGCGCGCACACACACATGCACCGCAGTCTAAGAAGATTCGGAGTCTTTCGCGACCAACTAGTTCGCACAGTAGCCTACAGGTGTTGCGAATTGCTGAGCCTCGTTGGTCACGTATATTTGCACTGAAATAAGAAGCTCCTGCGATCGCTGTCTTATTATACAGTTCAAGTCGAACTTGAAACGCGCGCTAATTTCAACCTTCGACTATCGACGAATCGATTGACACTATCGGTACGTGTTTGGGAGCAACGATTTTTCGTAGCGTTATCAAAAGCTGCTTAAGAAAAAGCGTCTTATAATTTTGCGCATTTTCGAAAACGACATTCAATTCTATTTAATTTTTCAAATTAGTATCGCAATCAAGCTCGTTACATTATTAATGATCAATCACCGCAGCCAATCGGTTGAAGCGACACTTTGAGGAGGTAGCGCGCATACATCCATTAGATTTAAGCTTCGTTTCAAGCATTTAATCGGCAGGGAGTACGATGTAATGATTGATGGATGAAAATAAGGGAATAGCTCGTCGTTCGTGCGAGGTTTACGCGTCGTAAAAGCTTCTCGATGTTTTTGACGCCGAATAAAAACGGATAAAAAGAAAACTGACAGCTATAAAACGCGCAAGAATATAATATCCATGTATGTCTAAGTGGCGCCCGAAAAGGTCGCCCAACGTTCGCTGCAGAGCCACCGGCGTCTTGAGCTGTTTTACGAGTTCGACATGTAAGATTATACTTAGTACTATTAATGCGAGCCATGGCATCATAGCTCAATATACGAGTAGACGAGCCATAATAAAAGCGCGTCAAATAATGCGTGAATTAAGCTCGCCTGCCGAGTAGTTATTTTTTCGCGGAGAACACACTTTGCCTATACTCATTAAAGTACGAGAATTGTACTTGTGCTATTCTGTTACTCCGATATTTATCCGTAAAAAGTCGCCGCGTATCGTAATAATACCTATCGCGCAAAGGGGGAAAGAATAAGAGGCGGAGGAATAGCAGTATAGCAGCAGTATATAGCGAACTCAAATTTCGCCGTGATACGTTTCACGAGTGTATAATAAGGAGCGGCGGAGCAATCGGCGCTTGTCGCACGCTGGACGTTCAGCGGTCTCCGCGCGCGTAATAATACCGAGGCACGATTCCCGGCGAGGCCCGTGTGTGTAAGTTAAAGAGTCGTCGTGTCGGCTGGCGGCGCGAGCCTCTTGCCTTTTGCCATTCTCTGACGCGCGGGCAATAACATTCCGTAGACGAAGCCGGTACTCTCGCTCGTAAAGTCGCGCTTCGGGATTTCCTTATTCTCAATTTTCTATCGTAATAGCCTTTCGATTTTTTTTCCTTTTTTTTTTTTTTTCATAGGTGTCATTGTTTCCGCTTTTTGTTGTCTTTGAGTTATTGTTATCGTGCAACAGCACTGCGGGTAAAAAGATGAAAGTTTCGCTGCTCGGAGCGCTACTCGTGTTCGGCTGTGCACTGGCCACGTCCATTCCCAGAGCCGACGACGAGCAACATCAACAGAAAAATCGCATACACGACAAGGTTTGTAATGCCTATAACTGTACGTCCGCAACTTATCATTGTGTAGCTTGTGTACATACAACGATGAAACATGGAAAGATCGCGTCGGTCAATTAATGCAATTGTCAAGAATTTAACTGTGATCTATGCGCGTCTTCATCAATCCTACACTTCTTTTACGAACTTTTGATGTGTATTTTATGCCTGTATGGTCCACACGATGTTTGTGCTGGATTTGTTCTGCTCGATGTACCGCTGCGATGTGTTTCTAGTCAAATTGTAACTCTGTTTGATGTCGTTGAATATTGAAAATGCTCTAACATCGCATCTTGTTAATCTCTAAAATTTTAGATCGACAAAGGTATCCTGAGGGAAAAAATTATATTTTTCGACCTCGAGTCTAAGCACATTTTGCGCGTGGAGGAGAACTGGTTGAAGAAGAGAAAATCAGTAAGAAAGGCCATTGACCTTTGAAGCACTTGCCGACGAAAGATTAATGTAATGAAAAACAAGCTCGATTTTGAAATGATCCTATCGCGACATTTTTGCGAGGATGTACACACGAAAAACAAGTATTTAGAATTTTCCAATTACTGCAACGATAATTTTAATTTGTTTAATGCTCGAGCCGTGCGTATTTGTTGTCTTGTACTTCAGATAAAAAAAAGACCAAGAAAAACTCATTGCGCAAACCGAACTACAAAATTCTAACGTATTGTCGATGCGTTTATAAAAGTTAAATAAATATTCAGAACGAAATTTCGATGGTTTTTTTCCATTGCAACTTGCATTAACCTCAAAACTGGTGCAAATAACATTTATGAAAAGTAAAAATATTTTGATCAATTAATTTAAGATATAAGAGAAAAAATATTATTGATTAAAAAATAAATTAAGATTTAAACATTCCTTTAAATATTAATAAATCTAAAGTGAATAGATAATAAATATATTTGTTTATTTCAAACAATAATTGTGCAACTAATTTTTTATGATTTTGTATTTTAATTTTACAGGACTTGAGTGATCAAGAACATTACATTAATAATCAACACAATCCAGCTTATGACCATGAAGCTTTTCTGGGCGAAGAAGCTAAAACTTTTGATCAGCTAACACCTGAAGAAAGTACTAGAAGATTAGGTCTTATTGTTGATAAAATAGATTCGAATAAAGATGGTTTTGTCACCCAAGAAGAACTTAAAGATTGGATTAAGTACACACAGCAACGTTATCTCAGAGATGATGTTCAAAGGCAATGGGAATCTCATAACCCAGATGAAAAGGATAAAATATTCTGGGAAGATTATCGTAAAGCTATTTATGGCTTTTTGGATGAAAAAGATGCTCAAACTCTTGACAGGCAAGATGAAAACTTCTCTTATGCTACCATGCAACGTAGAGAAAGAAGGCGTTGGTCCATCGCCGATAAAGATGGCGATGATGCCTTGACAAAAGAAGAATTTGCTGCTTTCTTACATCCAGAAGAAAATGAATATATGAAAGATGTTGTAGTCATTGAAACTATTGAAGATATTGATAAAGATGGCGATGGAAAAATTTCGCTTCCTGAATATATAGGTAATTTTTTCTCATTTCATCAAAATAAAATGAGAACTTGCATGTTTTAAAATTAATAATTGATTAACTTTTAGTGTTTGATAGAATATTGAATGATGAAAGTAAATCACTATTTAACAGTTAATAATATTAATTCTGATACAGATATTTTAAAGGAATACTAACATATTAATAAAATTTATTTTATCTACAGTCATATTTGAATTATTAAAATCATTGTAATATTTTTCATTTTTATGAATTAAAGGCGACATGTATAAAGGTGAAGAAGGAGAAGAGTTACCTGAATGGGTGAAGAACGAACAAGAACAATTCTCTCTCCACCGTGACAAAGATGGTGATGGTTTTATGGATAATGAAGAGGTATTGAGTTGAAAAGAATTCACATAAAATCCTATTTAAGTATTCAGGATGGTCATATATAATTTACTGATTTTTTCAGGTAAGAAATTGGATTATACCAGCCAATTTTGATCATGCCGAAGCAGAAGCTAGACATCTGATTTATGAAGCTGATTCTGATGCTGACCAAAAGTTGACGAAAGAAGAAATTTTAGAAAAATATGACATATTTGTTGGCTCTCAAGCAACAGATTTTGGGGAAGCTCTAACAAGACATGACGAATTTTAAAATCTATTTTAACATGAAATTGATCTGTTTATAAGTAGTAGATATGTATACTTAATTTTAAAAAATGTTTAAATCACTAATGTATAAAAACTTGAATACTTAAGAAAAGTGTAATAAAAAAGTAAGCGTTACTTTTATACTTATCAATACAAAAATATATTTATAAATATTTCCATAGTTATAATACAAATAAATGTATTCATTTATATTTTATTGAATTTGATGTTTATTAATGAATTTTATACCTGTTCACTAGGTCCAATGGAGTTCATTTTTAAATCTAATGTTGACTGTAATAGTGCATTAGTAATTTAAATTTTAAATTTTGAGTTTTGAATTATAAAAATTCCATCATCATGAACTTTGTAGAGGAATATTTCGAAACGATTATGATCTGGATTTTCTAATACCAATGAAATTAAAAGATACAATTCTTTTTTAAATATTGACTTGAATAAGATATTTTTAAAAACGAATAACGCCTCCAATAAAAATGATGAAATTAAATAATACAAGATTTTTTAAATTTTTTGTCATTTTGTAAAAAGGAATTTTTTATGTGTGTTAATGTTTCCCAAATATGTCATTATAGACCTGTATGCCAAGTAGTAGATTCTTTTCTGTTTCTTTTTTACTCAAGGAGGTAATTCAAACACAATTATCAATTTATCTTTACTTTCGACTCAATAATGCTTAATTGTTGTTATTCAAAGTATGTACGTAGCTGTTCCAAAAAACTTTTCTAATTAAAAAAAATAGTTACGAGGTAGTCGAATTGTCCTCCTCCAAAATTCGTAAAATCAAATATTATATAAGCATGTAATTGGTGTCGTGCGAGCGACTACACGGTTCGGCCGTCAAGTGTCGACCTTTTCTATTGCCGGTATACCGTATTGGTAACTTAGCTGCACAGGTGACTCCCGAGATGGCATTGTTATCCAATAGAATAAGCAAATATACTCTGCTTGAATGCAACTGCCATTATTTTGTTTGTATACATAATGCAAGATCACAAACAAAGATTCTCCAATGAAATAATATTCATGTAATCAGTGCACTCGTCGCTAAATTCAAATGTGCCATGGAAGATGATTATTTTTCTTCAGTCTACTCATGGTATTTATGATGAATAATTTTTTTATATCTTTTTAATAGTATTGTTCAATAGCTTCTTTCTACAATTTTAGCTTCAATTCAATTCATAAAGGTTATATTTCAGTATTGTTTACATTCGTCGTTTTGTGTGTACAGGTTTGACAAATGTGGAATTATAGCAAACATTCGAACGCATCTTCGGCAGAATCTAGTCAATACGCTGAAAAATCGAGATGCGAGTCATAAATTGGGAAATAGTTGCCCGAGATCAGCCAAGCAATATGTTTACGATTTGCTCATTGCCGAATATCTGTGGAACCACAATTATTTCTACACATTGTCTGTTTTTGCAAGTGAAGTACCTTTGATGGTTGATTTCAATAAACAAATTAATTCAAAAGACAATGGGGCAGAGTCGAAGCAGAAGTTACAAAGCGATTATGTATGCCATACTTTAGAGACTCTAGGAATTGAACCAACAAACCAAAAAGGAAAAAGTATTATTAGTGATTACGCTAAAAATGATGTGCCTTTACTTTTAAGTATATTGAAGTGCATCAGAATGACTGATATCGAGGATTGTAATAAAACCCAGAACCAAACAACTAACCAATTGAACAGTCAATATGTTCAAACTGTTGAAATTAAACAAAATTTAACTCAAGAACTATCTAAATTAACAATTGCTCGGAAAAAATTAATTCAACAAAAAGATCTATTTGAAGCACAATTAAAGCAAAGAGAAATAGAATTGAAAGAACAAGCATTAGTTATGAAAAATCAATTACTAATTCTCCAAGAGAAATTGAATCAGGCTCAAGTAAGTTTTAAAGTATTGAACACATTCCATTTAAAACATGTCAAAGCCAACCGAAAAATTGAATTTTCAACCTGATATTCTGTAACATTTAATGAAAATTTCTATAAAAAAGCTGTACAACCTTAATTTTTATGTCCTGTAAAGAATAATCGATTCTGTTAAGAAAGGTAGAAATTGAAGAAAATGGGATTGAAAACTCAAATTAAAAGCTGGCTCCCTTACATATCTATTAAATGTTCATATATGTATATATTTTTTTAGAAATTAATTGATATGTACAGTTTAAAAGAAAAAAGAATCAATGAAAATAAAAAGCAAGATGATTTAAAAATAATGCAAAAAGAAAAAGAATTGTCTTTAAGAGAAAAAATACTATCTCAAGAAGTTATAAGGTAAAATACATAAATGCTAATAAGTAACTGAAATGAAAGATTCAAAGGAAATAATTGCCAAATTTTTTGCAGAATAGCAAAAGAGAAAAACAGTTATCAACAACTTGAAGGTGATTTGAAAAAATTACAAGATGAATTACTAAAAGTTAAAAGAGAAATCCCCCTTTCTAGGAAAAATTGCAATTTGAGCGTCAAAGATACTGAAACGCAAACGGATTTTGAAAATTATCTTTTAACTAGGAATGAACAAAGTTTTTTAAATCTAGAAAAAAATGATCTTGGTGGTTTAGTAAGTGAGCAGCAATCAAGAATTAAGCAATTGACGTCCAAAGTTGTAATATTATCAAGGAAATTAGAAGAAAAACAATTAAAGGGCTGTAGATATGTAGAACTACCATTGTTGGTTAAAAATACAAATATTACAAATGGTGCTAGTGAAAGCAGCTCTACCGAAGATATTTTACAAGATGCAAAAATGCGCCTTCAAAGACTAGAGGAAGAAAGTTTAAAAGCTGACCAGTATTATTTTAATTTTATTACTAATTCATCGTAAAGTTTCTGTTTTTTTTTTAATTTGCTACACATTGAATTGTATAATTGTACATGTAAATATTAAACAATCATGCATAACACTAAATGTTTTCATATGCGAATTTGTAATCAGGAATTTAAATAATTATTAATTAACATCTAAACCCTCAATGAAAAGAACAATTTTTTTAGATCTTTTTGTTGCAGTTGATTTTAAATCAATTTTCATTCATGTATCATTGGGTTGAAGACAATAATATATATCTCAAACAATAATAAAAGTTTAAAGACAAGATTTATTTCGAGGAGTTATTGATGCACAGTCTAAATCCATGATAAATAAAATATTCATTGTTTTACTTTTTGGTAGCTAAATTACCGGCAATAGGGTCATAGGGAAGTTCGACTGTCGAACACCAACACACCGAACGTCGTCGCATCGCTCGCCCAAGCCCCAGCACCGGCCCAGCACCAACACGACGTACATTAAATTTGACTAGTCTAATTTTTTTTCGCTCGCCTAAGGCGCAGCACCAACACGACGTACATCGTCTATAGACTAGTCTAATTTTTTTCGCTCGCCTAAGTCCCAGCACCAACACGAGGTACATTAAATTTTACTAGTCTAATTTTTTTTCGCTCGCCTAAGGCCCAGCACCAACACGACGTACATCGTCTTTATACTTTCAAAATTTTCTATCGCTCCCTAGTACCGTCATGAGTCGTGACACGTCATAAAACAGGCCCACGAGTTTCTAATGTTGTCTCGCAGCCCTCCTTGTCACTTTGTAATTAGATCTAGTATTGCCCCCTCTTCCCCTCATTCGCCCACTACTACCACTGGTCAGAAGCGTACTGCGCCTGCGCGGTAGGCTCGGTTCTCAAAGCTCGACTCATACTCCTGCTAACAATAGTAAAAATGTATAGAGCCTCTTCATAGCTCGCACACGAGTACACGACTGGGCTAGCATCAGTCTTGGCTGTTCACTCGCTTGAACAGCAACACGGCAGCAACACTAACTCTCTCTCGTAGATCTTAGAAATTTTAAAAAATCTCGTAAATCTTTGAAAGTGTAAAAAATCTCGTAGATCTTAGAAAGTGTAAAAAACAACTCCATCAGTGTATAACATAAACTTTCTGCCGCAGTAGTGAACTTTGATCAACCTTCAGCCACAGTACACTCCAAAGGAGCACTTGTTACGCGCTTATTACTTTTTGCGACTCAACGGTATTGTACATTTTATTAACAAATCGTCAAAGTACCAGACACCAACATGTCGCAGTACATCGATTCTGAAGCCGAAGAGAGTGAGGTTAGTAAATAATTCTATAAAATATATTCATTCTTCTTAAACTCTTTATCCATACTTTACTATTTTCTCGATCTTTTTGGTTAAGTACATTGCTGGCTTGCATTGTACATGCACATTGTAGTGTATGTACATAACTTTTTGTTCGTTAGGTACTTAAACGATGCTAAATCAAAGTAACTTAGTCAGATTTGATTTGTGCGACTCAAATTTACGTTTAAACTTGAAAAATCACAGAAACAACTCATAATCATATTTCTGAGGGTGGAAAGCCTGCGACGTGACGTCACAGGTTAAGATGGCGGTAATAGAAAATACGGTTATCATAACATGATTCACAATCATACAAAACGCTTGTATGCACCAGCTTAGTTACTTTTTATACGTGGTTTTTGAATGTAATTCTACTATACAGAAAAACGAGCTCCTTCTTGATGTAATCATACATTGTTGTCATACAACACGATGCAGCATCATAGCAGAAGACGTAGACACACACCGCAAAATTTATAATTGAAATGCTCTCCTTTTACTGCCATGAACATCAAAAATATTCTAGTTTGGATTGCTTTGCTTTTCATGGCATGAACATTTAAAAAGTTCATGTTTAAATTGCTTTGCTTTCAATGATATAAAAATCAAGAAAACTCAGTAAACCCAATTTCAATTAATGATATCGCTGACTTATAATATTAAGTTTTCTTAATATTTTTTAGTTGCATGCGTTTCCCAAGATTGAGAAATAAATTTTACAAGTAGCCAGTGTTATTTTAATCAGATATCTATTTCAGCATAGAGTATTGATATTTTTTTGTTTGCTACACATAGATTAATTACTTTACACTCGAATATTCAACAATCGTGAGAGAGACGATGCTTTCATCTGCATATTTATATATCAGGGACATGAAGAGCAAAGCCAGTCTAGAAATGTAATTTAAAATCCAGATATCTAAGACCTACAGAGGATTTTTCAAATGCTTGAAGGCAATTTTTATTTTCATGTTGGCAAAGAGTTATATATCGATAAAAAATTTTTCTATTCATCCAAAATAACTGGATTGAAATATTTTTTTAGGCTGGCTAGGATACACACCGCACTGAAATTTGTTTGAGTTTATCGCTGTGCTCAAGTGATTTCAATTGAAAAGCAGTTTAACTTTAGCGCTAAAATTGAATCTACTCAAGCTGTGTTACACTGCCTGAGTAGTATTCTCTTGAGCGCTTTAGTACACTGCTTACTTACATCCCTTTGCCTGTTTAAGGACTTCATTTAGAAGAGTGCTTGATAAAGAATCTTTTATTGCACAACAAAAAAGAGTCATAGTTTAGAAAACATCTTTACACAGCTCTGTATAAGAATCAAAAATGCCCCTTTCAAGATGAAAGAAGAAAATTTTAAGAGTAACCAGTATTATGTGAATTTTATTTGTATTTTAGCATAGAGTTATGATATTTTTGAATTTTATGCTACTCTGAAGATCAGAGAACTCAATTTTAAGAGAAACTATTGTTATTATACTTTTATTTCTAATTTAGCACAATGTCTGGATATTTTTTAGTTGTATGCGTATTCCATGAAAATGGAGAAAATTCTATGAGTTAATAGTATTATTTTAATTTTATTTCTATTTCAGCATATACTTTTGACATTTTTTAGTTTGCCAAACAGGAATTGTTTACTTTACACATAAGTATTGATAAAGAATTATGCTAGAAACAATGTTTGCTTTGACAAATTCATAAGCAGGGACATGAAGAGCAAAGCCAGTCTAAAAATGTAATTTAAAATCCAGATATCTAAGAACTGCAGAGGACTTTTCAAATGCTTGAAAGCAATTTTTATTTTCATGTTGTCAAAAGGTTATACATCCATAAAAAATCTTTCAATTCATCCAAAATAACTGGATTGAAATATTTTTTTAGGCTGGCTAGGATATACACCGCACTGAAATTTGTTTGAGTTCATCGCTGTGCTCAAGTGATTTCAATTGAAAAGCAGTTTAACTTTAGCGCTAAAATTGAACCTACTCAAGCTGTGTTACACTGCCTGAGTAGTATTCTCTTGAGCGCTTTAGTACACTGCTTACTTACATCCCTTTGCCTGTTTTGAGACTTCATTCAGAAGAGTGCTTGATAAAGAATATTTTATTTCACAACAAAAAAGAGTCATAGTTTAGAAGACATCTTTACACAGTTATTTATAATAATCAAAAGTGCACCTTTCAGGATGAAAGGGGAAAATTTTAAGTGTAACTAGTATTATTTGATTTTTATTTGTATTTCAGCATAGAGTTTTGATATTTTTGAGTTTTATGCTACCCCCAAGATCACAGGAATAAATTTTAAGAGAAACCATTGTTATTTTACTTTTCTTTCTAATTCAGCACAATGTTTTGATGTTTTTAATTGTATGCGTTTCTCAAGATTAGAGAAAGAAATTTCAAGATTAACTAGTGTTATTTTCATCAGATTTGTATTTCAGCATAGAGTCTTTATATTTTTTAATTTGCTACTTGTGAATTTTTTACTTTACACTCAAATGCTCAACAATCGTGATACAGACAATGTTTTCTTCTGTATTTTTATATATCAGGGAGAGCAAAGCCAATCCAAAAATTCAATTTCCAATTCAGCTTTTTAAGACCTTCAGGGAATTTTTTTTTCAAATGCTTGAAAGCAATCTTTATTCAATGTTAGCAGAGAGTTATATATCTATCAAAAATTTTTTAATTTATGCCAAATAATTGGATTGAATTATTTTCATATGCTGTTTAGGCTATCTTGAGTACTGAAATTTTTTGGCCTCATAGCCGTGCTCAAAGTCCGTGATATTTTTTACTTTCCCACACATTAAATTGTTTACGTTACACTCAAATATTTAACAATTATGATAGAAACAATGTTTCCTGTTGCATATTGAAATTAGGCATATGGAGAGCAAAGCTAGCAATGAGTGCATTAATATTTTCTGTATTTTCTTTAATTTTCCTATCTCTTTTATGCTTCCTTCATGTTTACTAAAACTTAGCAATTTGAAAACAAATGTGCTAACCAAAATAATTTTTTTTACAGGAGGAAATGATGGAAACTAAAAGAAAAATGAAAAGAATCTCTTCAGACGAAAGCTCTGAAGACGAAGATGAGGACATGGAGGAAGTCAAGGATTTGATCGATGATCGTCCTATCGAGGAAGACGACAGCGACAACTCCTCCGACGATGACGATGGTTCTCCAAACGCAAAAAGAAAGAGAACGGATGATGACTTCGATGACCGTCTAGATGAGGAAGACTACGATGTCATCGAGGAGAATCTTGGTGTTAAAGTTGAAAGAGTATGTTCTTTAATCTAATTGACTAATTTTGAAAACATATTTTACGATTATTTGATTACTAACAGTTTTCGTTATTTACAGAAACGCTTCAGACGTTTGAAAAAGATTCAAGACGAGGAATCTGATAATGAACAAGACATGGAGGCAGATGATGAAAGAAACGCTATAGCTAATCAATTGTTTGAAGCTGGCTCAGGCGACGAAGATGAAAAGAGCTCACCTAGCAGACGCGATAAGAACGAAACCGAACAGTACGACGATGAAGAGGCCGAGGAAGAATCTGACGCTGATGACTTCATCGTCGATGATGATGGAAAACCACTGAAAACGCATAAGAAGCGTCCACGAATTTTCGCTGATTCTGCCCTCCAAGAAGCTCAAGACATTTTTGGAGTTGATTTTGATTACGATGAATTGGCTAAATTTGACGGAGATTATGACGAAGATGAAGATGAAGATGAGGAAGACGAGTATGCAGACGAAGATGAAGTAGGACGCACCAAAAAGTCTAAAAAAGCCTCAAGACGCAAAGGAACTAAAAAGAGTATCTTCGACATTTATGAGCCAAGCGAATTGAAGCGAGGACATTTTACTGACTTGGACAATGAGATTAGGGGAACAGATATTCCAGAGCGAATGCAATTGCGAGTCGTACCGGTAACTCCAGCAGACGAAGCCGAGCTAAAAGAGGAAGGTAAATGGATCTATGAGCAGGCTTTCGTTAAAAAGACTATTAGCATCCAAGACGACCACTTGACACCGGAAGCCAAAGAAGCTGCAGTTAAGAAATCGTCAGCAATTCAAAAAATTGTCACAGCACTCGATTTCATGAGAAATCAGTTCATGGAAGTTCCATTCATTGCATTCTATCGCAAAGAATATTATCTTACTGATTTAAACATGAACGATTTGTGGAAGATATATAAGTATGATGCTAAATGGTGTCAATTGAACTCGAGGAAGAAAGCCCTCATCAAACTCTTTACAAGAATGAAGGAATATCAAACCATGAAATTATCACAAGACAAAGATGCTCCATTACCTGAAAATATTCGTATCTTTGATGATAATGATTTGCAGTTCCTCAACGGTGTTCAAAACATCGAAGAACTGAATGATTGCTACAATCATTTCATGCTTTACTATCATGAAGATGTGCGTCAAATGCAACAAGAGGCAAAAAAGTATAATAAAGAAAAGAAGAAGCAAGAAAGACAAGAAAGACGTAAAAAGTTAATTGCTGAAGCAGAGGAAAATGGGGAAGAACCACCACCTGAGGAAATAGAAGAAGATGAAGATGATGCTGCTGAAGAAACATTAAAACAAGCAGCTCGTACTGGTCCATATGCTCTATGCAAAAAAGCTGGATTAGAACCTTTTGCAAAAAGGTTCGGATTGACTCCAGAAGATTTTGCAATTAACTTGAGCGAAGAGTATGGCACCAAAGAGGTTGAACAAGATCCAATGGAAGCTAGTGAAATAGCCAAGCAGTACCTTGGAAAGAAATTCCAAACAACTGAAGAGGTATTAAAAGCAGTTACCTTGATGGTAGCTATTCAATTGTCTCGTCAGCCATTGCTCAGAGAATCTGTACGTAAACTGTACAGAGATAAAGCGACTATCACCGTCAAGCCTACAAAAAAAGGCCTTAAAATGATTGATGAAAGCCATCCGATTTACAGTATGAAGTATCTCAAAGAAAAACCTGTTAAAGAATTAAAGGGGGACGAATACTTGAAATTGTTAGTGGCGCAAGAAGATAAACTTATTGAACTTACTTTTTCCGATAAGTTCCAAACTCATGGAAACACAAACTACATTGATCATGTAGCTTCTCTTTATCAGAGAGATGAATTCAGTAAAAATGTTCAAGAATGGAACACGTTACGTAAAAATGCAGTCAATTTAGCTTTGTCAGATATGGTCATTCCAGATTTAAAAAAAGAACTGAAGGCTATACTGCTAAGCGAAGCTAAAGACTGTGTGCTCAGACATTGTACAAGAAAAATGTACAATTGGATCAAGCATGGTCCATACAAAGTAGACAAAAATGATTTTGAAGAATCAGACGAAGAGTGGTCGACCAGCAAAGGATTAAGAGTCATGGGACTCGCATATGTTCCGGACTTTTCAGTTGCCGCTTTTGCATGTCTCGTCACGCCAGATGGAGATTGCAGTGATTACCTCAAGCTTCCACATATTTTGAAAAAGAAAAATAGCTACAGAGATAATGAAAAGCAGTTAAAAATGGCAGATTTGCGGTCACTAAGAAACTTCATTGAAACCAAAAAGCCCCATGTCATTGTAATCGGGGGTGAATCAAGAGAAGCCACCATGATTGCCGAGGACCTGAAGGAAGTTGTTAATGGTTTGATGGTCGACGAACAGTTCCCGAAGATAGAAGTAGAAATAATCGAGAACGAATTGTCGTTTGTTTATGCTAACAGCAACAAAGGCGTAGCTGAATTCCGCGACTATCCAGATCTCTTGCGACAGGCAATTTCATTGGCTCGTCGCATGCAAGATCCTCTGGTCGAATTTTCTCAATTGTGCAACGCAGATGACGAGATTCTTTGTTTAAAGTACCACCCAATGCAAGATCAGATATCAAAAGAAGACTTACTTGAAGGTATTCATCAAGAATTCATTAACCGCGTAAACGAAGTTGGTGTAGATATAAATCAGGTAGTTTTGCAACCCTACTACACGAATCTGGTACAGTTCATCTGTGGTCTTGGACAACGAAAAGGACAATACTTGATAAAAATGTTGAAGCAAACCAATCAGCGACTAGAGAACAGGACTCAACTGGTCACATCATGTCACATGGGCCCAAAGGTCTTCGTCAATTGTGCTGGATTCATCCGTATCGATACCAATAGCCTTGGGGACAGTACTGAAGCCTATGTTGAGGTACTCGATGGCTCGCGAGTCCATCCCGAGACTTACGAGTGGGCACGAAAAATGGCTGTCGACGCTCTAGAGTACGATGATCAAGACGCAAATCCAGCCGGTGCCTTGGAAGAAATTCTCGAAGCACCCCACCGATTGAAGGAGTTGGACTTGGACGCTTTCGCCGAGGAGTTAGAGAGACAAGGCTTTGGTAACAAAGGTGTCACTCTGTACGATATCAGATCCGAGCTAGATGACAGATACAAAGACCTGCGACCTCCTTTCCAGTCGTACACACCAGATCAGCTTTTCACCGCGCTAGTGAAAGAAACTCCAGAAACTTTTTATGTCGGTAAGCTCCTGGAAGCGACAGTAATCGGCATCAGTTATCGCAAACCAAAAGGAGATCAACTAGATCAAGCCAACCCAGTGCGCAACGATGAGACAGGCCTATGGCAGTGCCCGTTCTGTTTGAAGAATTCATTCCCTGAATTATCCGAGGTCTGGAACCACTTCGACGCTGGCTCTTGCCCTGGAAAAGCTGTCGGCGTTAGATTGAGGCTCGATAATGGCCTCTCTGGATATATTAACATTAAAAATTTATCCGATAAGCACGTCGACAATCCTGAAGAGCGCGTTCGAATCGGACACAGAATTCACGTTCGAGTAATAAAAATCGAGCCAGAAAGATTCGGTTGTGAGTGCACTAGCCGAGGCAGCGACTTACAAGACGTCAATAAAGAGTGGAAGCCACAGAAAGATCTATACTATGACACAGAAGCCGAAAAGGAGGACATAAAAAAAGAAGAAGACTTGAAAAAAGGGTCACAGCGCCAAGTTTACGTGACTCGAGTAATCATTCATCCTTCCTTCAAAAACATAACATATATAGATGCAGAAAATTTGATGGCAACCATGCAACAGGGCGAAGCAATCATAAGGCCATCGAGTAAGGGCGAAGACCATCTTACAGTTACGTGGAAGGTGGCTGAAGGCGTTCATCAACATATTGATGTGCTCGAAAAGGGAAAAGAAAACAAATATTCTTTGGGCAAAAGTTTGTTCATTGGCAACGAAGAATTCGAGGATTTAGATGAAATAATCGCTCGCCACATCAATCCAATGGCAGCGTTCGCCAGTGAGCTGATCGAATACAAATACTACAAGCCACAGGTGTTGGGGAACTATGAGAAAGCGGAAGAAATCCTACGTCAAATGAAAAAAGAGAATGAAAATTCCATTCCATACATCTTATCAGCGTGCCAAAAAGAACCCGGTAGATTTCTATTGTCGTACCTTCCACGAGAGAAATGCGGCCATGAAAAGATTCAGGTATCACACGAAGGTTACGAATTCCGGCTTAAACGCTTCCAGAGGGTGATGGACTTGATTCGCTGGTTCAAAGAACACTACAGAGATCCCATCCCTGGCAAAGCAACGCCAGCCAGCAGCACCCCACGCGCTTTCCCCACGACGCCAGCACTCAACGTCGTTAACGGTGTCAGCACTGACGCGATACAGCGAGTGGCACAGAACATGCCAAGGCAACTTTACAATCAGTTATCACAAGTGGCTACCAATGCAACGCCACATTACACACCATACGTCACACCTTACCAGACTCCGGTGAATCCAACTCCGAGGTACGGAGAAAACACACCAAGCAGCACCACACCGCATCATCATCACCATCACCATCATCAATATGCTGGTAGCAATGCCCCTGATGATTGGAGAAAAGCTGCCGAGGCCTGGGTGGTAAACAAGACAACAACTCCTGTTTATAGATCTTCGAGCACGCCTAGACCATTTAAGCATCCATACAAATCACCAAGAGGGACACCACACACGAACTCGAGCCCTCGCAGTATGTCCCTTAGTGGCGACGGTACTCCCTTGTATGATGAGAGTTAATGAAATTTCATTAACAACTGTATATTTATGTAAATGTTAGGTTTTAGTTTAAAAGTTAAATGTTAGTAACTAATAAGAAATTGTAATACCGAGAGTATTTGTATAATTACTCCTAAAATAAATTTTGTTTAAAAGTTATGTACTCATTGGGTAATAGACAAAAAAAGATTGTAAAGAATTATTTGAACATCATGTTCTAATAGATTCTGATATTACTTAAGATTCATAGGATAATTAGTAAATAAGAAAGTAAGAAAGATTTAGTTTTTTAAATTGGATACACGCAATATTGTGGAAAAAACTTAAAAATTTCAAAATAAAAAAAAAAGATAAAAATTAACTTAACAGTATTATTATTATAAACAATACTCCTATATACATAATAACGAAGCCACCTATAATAGTAAAGTTACAAACAGAACTCAGAAAAAATAATTAATCGTGAAAATTCTTTACAGACTTAATTGCAATCAATTTGTTTCGCTAGCCAATAATGTTGCATTAACTTAAAAACAATCTACAAATACAGTTTTCCAGCCATTAAAATTATATTTTTTCCGTTCATGAAATTTAGAATAAATAAAGTGAATCTATTTACATATTGAAGTTGTAATAATTATAAATAACTACAACAATAATTAAATAACAACAAGAGATGCTTGATCATCTGATAACACATCATCGTTTGGATTTTGATGCTTTTCGTATACCCAACGTACTGTTTCTAATTTACAATTTTTTGTATTATTCTCTGACTCTTTATAATCAAGCTTACGACGTTTCCGTAACTTTGTATGAAAATTAGATTCTGGTGGTCCCATTTCAGTATTATCATTTGCTTTTGACTTGGAATCCTATAAGTAAATTTATTTTTTAGATGACGTTTTTAGTATCATATTTTAATACTCACTTTTGAGTCCTTTTTGATAGATGATCTAGAATTTTTTTTTGAATTTCTCCTCTGTAAATAATGAATAATTAGTATTTTAAAAATAACTCAATCAGTAGTAATAATTAATACATACCGTTTTATTAGGTTTAGATTTACCGTCCACTTCTGATTCACTACTAGAGGAATATTCCAGCTTGTGAGCGACCTTTTTTCTTGGAGACGGAACTTTCGATTCTATGTCTGGTGGCTCTTTTAATTTTGTTAATTTACTGTTGCTTTTGCTTACATTTTCATGAGCTTCAGGTTTTACGTTATTTTTTATACCTTGTCGTTCCTTCGAAAATACAATATCATAAAGTTAATAATAATGAAACATAAGGAAACGTACAAATAGTAAACACTGTAGTACCGTGGATTTCGTCAGAAGATTTATGTTTTCTGTATCGGGAGTATTAACTGAAGCAAAGAATAAGTTATTCTTGTGAAAATTATAAATTTTGATTTCAATTAAAGTTTTACAGCGAAATACCTCTCCAAAATTCCATAGGTGAGATAATCCGTCGTCCGCGAGAATTCATTGATACTTGCAAAGGATCAAGTGTATCGTTGCTAAATGAATTCTCAGCATTTGCTACACTCGGTGACTCTAAAGTTGTTTTAAAATTTTTAGCTTCATTATGAATGAACAAAAAAATAGAACAATATTTTCAAAGTAAGCATGAAAAATATGAAGAAGTTTATGAAAGATATATTTATGCAACATTGAAGAAGTCTACTAGTAGAAAAGATTTTTCTGTCATTTATGTGTCGCTTTTTTTAATAATAATGACGATTATTATTAAAATACAAAAATGATGGAAAAATGTATTTCTATAGGGTTGTGATATTAGATGTTTTTGTCATATTACCTAGTTTGAACATCATCCACTCTTCGCAAAATTCATCAATATTTGGAGGACAGCCGGCGCGACATTTTTTTATTAATTCGCTAGGAATACCTACAATTAAAAACTTTTAGAATTCATTGTGAAAATTATAATTTATTGTAATGATGGTATTTAATTACCATGCTTGGTATTTAAATCTCCTGAGAGCAAAAAAAATTCCTTGTCAAAAGTTTCAATTAATTTTGACGAATGTCTGAACTTGACAGCAGTTGTGAGAAATTTTCTGTCAAGTATATGCCCAGCTTCACTGCAAAAACAAAATCAACTATTAGTTTTTCATAGTTCACGTTATTTGCATCCTCAAATAATTACTTCAATAATTTTCCTTCAAACTTTAATAGTTTTTTTTTCTTTGAGTCATTATCAAATGTTACCACTGGATACCAAAATTCTATTATTTTGGGATTTTTTTTAGAACCATATGGGAAATCAGCTTTTGACTCATCTAATGGTTTCTGTCGTTTATCTTGAAGTTTCATATTTTGCTTTTCATGAGTATCTCTGAGCTTTTCTTTGGTTTCGACGTTCGTTCTTTCTTTGGCACTTTTGAAATCTTTTGACTGAAAATATCAAGAAATTCAAGAAATTACATAATTTATATCAAAGTTTACTTTGTAAATTCTTTATAAGTACCCCAAGAGCCAATTCCTTTTCTTCATCATTCATAAAATCTTCAGAATCGTAAGTCAGAAAACGATGTTGAAGTAATTCATCATCAGAATTTTGGTTTTCTTTATCATCTTCATTATTAGAATATTTTAATTTATTAGATTCTGATGGTTTCTAAAAGAAATTGATAATAAGAATGATTTACTTCTACAAAATATTTTGAATTTTTCACTCACCAATTTTTTTTTTGTAACTTCATCATCAATTACGCTAATATCAGAGTGGTTTGTGATATTGTTTTTAGAAAGACGTTTTAATTGAACATTAACTTGAATTTGTTCAATACTTTTTATAACAGGTTTGTTTAATACATTTTGATTTTCTCTCAGAGGTTGTGAATTAGGCAATTTTATACAGATTTCTTCATCTGTAATTATGGAAAATTACTTTTAAAGAAGAAATAAAATTAACAATTATTAGACAAAAAAGTAAAAAATAATTTTTTTTTTAATTTATATCTAAAGTTATAATAAAAAAATTATATTTTACTAATTTGTTACCCTATACTCTACTAATAAATTATGAAATAAAAAATTCATAAATGTTAAAAAAAATCTGAAGACTGAATTTAATTTTTCTTTTATGGCGAATTAATCTGTTTTTAAAATGTATTTAAGTATTTAAAATTTTAAATAATATATACTTTTAGGTGTGGATGCTTTATTTTGATCTATTAAAGAGCTGAATTGTTTCCTAGAAATTGCTATTTCTTGTAGGTGAGTCTTTTTTTCAGAGGAGTCATCTTCTATAATACTGACGCTAGAGTCATATTGTTTCAGTACAGTTTGCTTACATGATCTTTCATTATTGCGGAATTTTCTTGAGCTATGATGTCTCGATTTTGAAATTCTTTTTTGCAATAGCTTTTCCAAATGTACATTTGGAATTCCTAAATATTTTTCACCATCAGATGAATCATGAGAAGATTCAGAACACTCCAAGTTATTATTATGATTCTGTAAAGTTAGAGCTTCTTTTGAATTTTCATAGTATTTAATTTGTTCAGATGCATTTTTAGATTCGGGTAATACATTCTCTTGAGTTTCTAAAACTGCAGAACTGTTACATTTTTGACAATCTGAAGTATTCTTACAAGGTGATGAGCTTCTGCCAAACATTTCTTGTTGTTTTTTTGGTCCATAAGACAAAAGATATCTTAAGTTATCAATCAGTTCAATAAATTTGTCAAGATAATTTGGAGGACAGTTTTCATTCCCAAGATTCCCAAGTATTATTTTAAGTTTATCTTCTTTGATTATTTCTCTTAAATAACCCGGATTTGTTAAATTTGAACTGAAATTATGGCCACTTGTACTATGAGATTCCATAGATTGATGTTGATCATTGTTGATTTCATGTGGACAAATATGAGAATCTTTTGCTTTGGTGTGTTTAGGATTTTCATTTTTTGTAACTTGATTTCCGTTTTTTGGAGTTGAGCTATTAACATTTTGATCTTGAGATAAATTTTCTTTAACCAACGGTTTTTTTTCTAACTCATTTGATTGATCATTCTTATGAATTTGTATTTCATTGTTAATATTCTTCTGTCTATAAACAAATTCACTTATATCACTTCTTAAGTCATCATCATCATCTGTTATTGGAGTGGGCCATCGAAAAGTTTTCAAACTACCTTCAGAAATGAAGTTTTTCCAAATGTGATAAACATTTTCCCAATCATCAGGAAATCCATTGTAAAACTTGCCACAAACATATTCCGGCAGTTCTGAAAAAATTTAAAGACTATTTTTTATACATTACTGTATTATTCTAAATAAAATTATAACTATTTTGGTAGTTTACCTTTATTATCATCAACTATATTACCGATTAATTTGTATATATGTTTACAAACAGATTCTACCATGTCGTGCGAGTGCCTTTTTAAAATAGGCTTGCTTCTAGCTAACTGATGACTGAAATGAGATTTATTAATTTTAATGAGATGAATACATATTCCAAAAAAATTATAATGGCATTGATTACCTACTTTTCCAATAATCCTCTAATTATTAGTGAGCCATTAGTATTAATAGATACTTTCCATCTAGAAAATATCCTTATCTTTTTAGGCTCTTGAGCATCAGAGGCATGATTTGAACCATCGTCTTGATAAATATCTGTTGAGATACCTGATGGTGGTACTTTAGCATTACTGTGATCATCATTGATAGAATGTTCATCTATTCTGGATAATACTTTTGCTTTTGTCAATGAACGTTTTGTTGACGGTGGTGGCATAATTACTCTATCTAAATCAGTACTATGGCCAGAAGGTTGTTTAGTATTTGATGGTGTATTTGAATATTTATTCTTTAGTCCAGAGAGCATTCGCAAATTGTTACTGGAAGCTACAACTTCGCTTTCCACCCTTGAAACCTGCAAGGATGGAGGAGGTGTATGTACATAACTTGAATCATGAATACTTGATAAACTTGGCCATGATGGAGTGGGACAATTTGCATTAGTATTGGATCTCAATCTATCCATTGACCTAACAGTGTCTAATGTACGCTCCAAATTTTTATATCTCATATCATTTTTCACATCACTGAACTTCACCTGTTGTAAATAACAATGCAAAAAACAATTTAAAAATTTAGTATTCAACAGAACGTGGAAGATGACTTACCGGCGAATACTGCATTTTGAATTTGCCATTTATGCAGGCAAATTTCTAACCTAAATGTAATATTACTAATTGATTTTCAATTTTAATAAAAAAAATGTCTCTCAAACTGGTCGGAATCTGTTTATTTGGGTATGTTGTGTGAATGAAGAATTGAGCGTCACTATAAAGATTAGCCCGCGCAATAATGTGCACATTTGAGTGCAGGTAATAATCTTACCGACTCAGCTACTACTCAATGTTTACGAAAGTTGCCCGCATACAGACAATCGCGCAACAAGTGTCAAAATAGGCAGTCTGCTGTTCTCGCTAGCTCAGGCGATATGACATTTTATTATTTTATTTATCAAAAACTTTGAAGAAAATTGAAAAAGGAAAAGGATCAGATGATAATAAGACAATGATTTTTTTCACTTTGCACTTTGTATTTAATGACACTCATTTTCTTCAACAATATATTTTCTTTATACAACTAATCAAACAAGTCAAGACAATCATACTTTTGTCAACAACACGGACTTTCAAACTTAATGCAAAAAAAAAAAAGAAAATGACTTTTAAAACTGACTCTTTTCGAAAAAAAATTTATAATTTTTCGTAATTCTAATTTTTCTCATTACATTATAACTAAAAATCTTTTGAACACACCATCATGTCTAAAATTTAAAATTATAATATACATATAAAAAAAGTCGTTTTCATTTCACCATGATCATAATTATATTTTCCTCGTCTCCCATGATTTTCATCGTATAACACAGTAATTATGTGATATACTGTATTTGAGTAAGACATGATGCGCAATAAAAACTAACTATGACTAATGCTTGTACTATTATTTGTTAAAAGCTTTGCATCGCATTTAAAAACAGACAAATTCGTTACACGTATTGTATACTATTATGTATAAAAAAATGGCTTCGGTATGTAATACGTATAGAAAACAAAAAAACAAGTAATTCCTGAATCTCAATTGATACCCTCACTTTGTTCAATCTGGAATGAAATCCAGTATTACTTATTTTTGCTTTTGACAATTTTTTCCCTCACAACAATGGCTAAAACTACATAGCAAAGGTACGTTTGAAATAATGTTCATTGTCATTTATATAAAAGACTAGCGTAGATAACGCCTCATATATTTTATAAAATTCAAAATTAATTAATGAGTATTTACGTCGAGAAGTAGGCCTTGTTTGGCTGTGACATTGTATTCCCTTAACAAGAAAGGCAAATACTTCATATACAAAGATTGCAACGATTAGAAGGTTCTTCGATGAACATTTGGTTGAAAATTTACGTCATAATTTAATTCAAGAAAGAAAACAAAATATCCATTAATTTTACTAATCACACATCGCATGACTACTTTCTCAATGTAAATTCTATGTTACACGGCGTTCGAATGCTTGGCTTTTTTTAGACAGTATAAAAAACATTGCTAATTTGTAGCATAAAAAAGATTAGTCACTTTTTTGGGAGTACGATTTTTTACAATATTTTCTACATTGTATACATATATTACATATTACACTAATGTCAATCAACCATATTTTAAAGCTTTTTATGCCAATTACAGGTACATATTATCGACCATCCAGAAGGAAGAATTTTTCTATGAAAAAACTTTTCTACAATTGAGTGTTAATTTTTTAATTTGCCAATCATGAGCCATGAGATTGACTGACAATGTCATGTTTTCCATGCTGATTGTCGAATTAACTCCACCTGAGCAGTCGTTAAAAATGTTTTTCTATAGCTAAAATTTTTGTAACTTTACAACCCTTATAATATCTAAACAACGCATCGTCCCAATTCAAACACAACTTTATATATTATTTGACAATCTGCAACTTTTATTAAAATGCATTCGAGTTCCGTGTAACAATAAAATTTTTCCCAAATAAAATTTTTTTCAAGTCATCATCGTCATTATCTTTGTTAGGACACTTTTTTGCCTAATTATCCATACCTCTTCACTAACATATTCATACATAATCTTTTTTACCTGTATTTATTTATATAATATATTTTTATCTTCATGTATATATAAAACAACGGTTCGATTGCTCGCACGCAAATATAATGCATACTTTATTTCATCTCTATGATTCGTTTTCTTATGCATATAAACTTCCAATTTTTCATTACGTTTACAATCATAGATCGCTTTAAACGTTTACATTTTTTACGTTAACTTAACACGCTTACATTGCTTTAAACTACAACTTTTTTAACTTTCTGTTTTTTAAAATTATGATAAACAAGACTATATAATCTCTCGACAGTCGACGCTATACGAACAAAAGTAAAATTACAAGTAGAAAATGTAATATGGCGGCGGATGAGAAAAAATTAATTATAGTAAAAGAGTAAAATAGAGAATAAAGAACAAAAATTGATTGGCAGCTGCCTAAAACAGGATCTCTCATTGTAAATTAAGAAATGCATGTACAAAAACAAAATGAACCATTAAAAATTCATCCTAAATAATATTGCAACAATCATACATGACTTGTTTAAAGAAATCTAATAGACGTGTGCATATATTATCTATTGTTATAATTATTGTATAGGTCGCCGAAAATCGAACGGACGTCTGTATGTTTTTCTTTTTCAATATGATTACGCAGTTTTACTCTACATAATACATGAAATGTTTATAATGTGTGTATATAGATTCATTTAATAAAAGTTTTGGTGCGCTATGAGAGATCTTCAAAGCAGTCTGAATCACACTACTGCACTCTGGCAAATGTAATGATTTTATTATTTATATATTATTCAGAACTTTTAAACTCGTACGTAAGATTTTAATAAAGAGTTCGTGTATTTATCCTGAGAATTATTTTCTCAGTGAGAGAGCATACACAAAATGAGTATTAAGAACGGCATTTCATTCATTCAAGTGTGTCGCAGACATGACAAGTTTAAATAACTGTAAACGTTAAATCGCTATGCAATAATTATTGATTCGTTTCGCATCGTTTGAGGAATAGCTAAAAGGGTCAGAAAACATCAGAAAGTACGTGACTCGATTCAATGCACTGTTTTATTATTTTTTTTTTACACGAGAAAATAAGAAATACAACGGGGTGTCGTGATCGTTCGTTCGTTTGGTCGAATTTTCGGAACAGAAACTGCGAGAGAAAAGCCGCATTCGTTTTTTATTTACAAAACACACCATTTGATATGATGAAAGACGCGAAGATTGCTTATAATTAAGTTTATATAAAGTCTTGTAACTCTTTTGTCTTTTTTTTATATAGGTTTCGATTCGGCAGATGCATATATATACCTATATAGACGCGATACATACATATTAATGTGTTATTACGTTGCATGCGCGCGATATCTCTCGAAGCTTCGTTTGCGCTTTATTTTGCATCGGCAATTGTTATTTGCGTGCAGCAATGTAAAACTTATCAATTCGAATCCGATAAGAGCTAACCCCGTTCTGTTTGTGCAAGCTAAGTAAGTATATGCAGAAGAAGTGCGAATGCGTCGTAGCCGCTGCTTTTGTGGCTGTTGCTGCTGCTGCGCTGTTTCTTCGAGCGAACGAACGAAACGATTGTTATTATTCGATGATAGCGCGTAATGATTTCTTCTTTTTTTTTCAACGTCCTATCGATAATCTCGTGTATAATACCCCCCGCTTTTCTTTTTTTCTTCACTAATTCATTTATTTATATATTTATACATTTTTTCGTTTTAATCTATATGTATAAACACTTTTATGGTATTCATAGTAATAATCGTCTTTTCGCTATTACAATTTAATTATTACTATAAGTAAATTTGTGTAATAGATTCAACATATATTTTTATGTATATTTTAAAATATACATATAGAATATACATAGGATATTTCTATATCTATATATATTTATATATATTTATTATAATATAAATACATATACGTGTACATACGTACATGTATTTATATATATATATATATATATATATATATATATCATACACACGTTTTTACATGTTTATGCGGTATAGAGCACATGGCAATAATACCAAACGTTATCGCCTACTATCGTTCGAGTCCGCTCGAAATTAATCTTAAATTTTTTCGCACATAATGTACCTAGCGTAATGACGTAGCACCTAGGGTTTTTGTACTTTAATTAATAAGTTTGCCCCGTTCAGCCGATTATGTCGGAGCGGCCCTCTACAACGGTAATCGAGAAGGCTTGAGCAACAGATTGGCCGAGCGTAGCAAAGTAGTGACAGAAAAAAAATAAAAATAATCGCACGTCATTTTCGTCGTTTTCTCAATGTCGTCATGGCACATATCGTTGAGCCTCGCGGTACATCGAAAATCGCACGATAGCTCCCAGACCGTTACACTGATTAATTCGGTGTATACGCAAGCACAGCAACGGCGTATATGTAATTTTTTTTCTCGCCATTAACATAGCCAATGAAAATGCACTGCATTATTTCGAATCAGTGGGAAAAATGTACAATTTTAATAGGCCGTGTATGGTCGTGAATCGTTATTCCTTCACCTTCTATCGGCTAAAAAATCGAATCTCGGAAAGGGGAAGGTCAGAGCCAGGGCAGCACCGTTGACCTCTTCTTAAACGGCAATTGTTCGATCGTTGCACCTCAGCTCTACGTGTCTCCGTCGACTTTGTGATGAGTGTTGTTGAGCATCACCGGACTGTCAGTTTCTCGCTTGATGATCCGTTTCGGTAGCTCTTTATCACGGAGAAGCAATTGATCGAGAAAGTCTCTGACTGCATCGCGTACCTCGGGTTTTGGTTTGAGCATCGCGAATCGCTCTTCGAAACTCGCAACCATTTGAGCGAGCGAGCAAGGATGTTCCGTTAACGGCGGCGCGTTGTTGTACGCCACCGGTTCCTGGGGTTCCTCTTTGCAGATTTGCGAGGGCGGCGACGTTGGCGGCGTGACGAGGGCCGATCTCGAGTGGGATCGCGACGTGGACAGCAGCTTGAGTGGAGAAGCTGCTGCTGTAGCGGGAGGAGCAGCCTCGTCCTTTATGGTAATGACGGTCGTGGGCATGGCAGCGGCATCGCAGTCGGTAGTCGTCGAGGTGGCTTTTGCCGGGGACGTGGCGTCACCCCGGTCTGGCTCCGGTGTCGATTCCTTGGCCGATTCTCGCTTGAGCTGCGTCGGCTAAGTAAAAAAAAGTAAATTATCGTCAAGCCACATATATAAATCATACGCCGCTTTGCGCTGTACAACAGCAGCAGCGCGATATGAATTACTTCGGAGAGGAAATGAATGATGCAATAGTTTGCACGCCGTGAGCGAGGGAGAGAGAAACAGGCTTTAAGCTGGAAAGGTACATGTATAAAAAAGTCTGATGTAGCAAAAATACAAAGTAGAAAAAGAAACGAGCAAGTAGAAGAAGGAATGAGAGAGAGAGCGGATGGACACAGAGAGATGTAGGTACATAGAGTTTTTCTTTTCTTGGCTCTCTGTAAGTGCTAGTGTGGGATATATATGCATGCGCGGAGGGCTATGATATCTCTGCAGGCAGCTCTCTCGCACGCGCGCTCGCGCGAGCTAGAGAAAAAGGAAAAAGAGAATGATACAGCTCGCTGACACGCTCTCTTCGCTCTATGAAGATTGAAGAGTAGGACGAAGCAGGCGGCGAGCAGAGCGCGCGCGGCAAGAAAAGAGAGGGCGAGAGGAAAGAAGTATACGAGAGAGAGAGAAGAGAGCGCGCGGTGGCGGCTCTGCAGCGAGCGCATACACACGCGTACACAGCGCACCACATTGCAGCAGCAAGAGGAAAGAGAGCGAGAGAGAAGTCTAAGAATGCCGACATCACTGCAGGATGATCACAGAAAACAGCGAAGGACACGGACTACGTGTATATAGCTCTCGCGCGTCGAAGGAAGGTGAAGTTATAGGCCTGCCAATGTGCTCTACACGAGAGGGACGTAGAGAAAGAGAGAGAGAGAGAGAGAGAGAGAGAGAGAGAGAGAGAGAGAGAGAGAGAGAGAAAGAGAAAATGAGCGAGAACGAAGAGACGTGCTCGTTGCGCGAAGTCAAGATCCGAAGCTGCGATGAATGCTAGATTGAATTTTAGCCTCGGTATATAAAACGTGGTTACTACACTGCATCGACTCGCAAAAAGGATATTGCGAATCGATGAGGGAGAAACAGAGAGAGAGAGAGAGAGAGAGAGAGAGAGAGAACTCGTCGTACCGTTTCGGCATCGCTAAGATGTGACTTGATTTTGTGCTCCGCGTCAACAACAACAACATTGGCAGCTATGGCTGTGGTGGCGGCTGTACCACTGTCCCTCAGATCGACGGCAGTCACTTCGATCTCGCTGCCGCAGTCGTCGTCGTCGTCGTTGTCGTCGTCGACCACGTCCATTGCCTCCACGACTGCTACGTCCTGCTTTTCGAGTTTGATCGTCTCCTCGTCCCTTCGCTGTTGTTCGGTGCTGCTACTCCGAACAACGGAGGCAGCAACAGCCGCTGCCGATGCCGCGGGCTCGGTTTTTGCCGTCGTCAGCGTGGTCGACAGAGTCGTCGCTGTTGTCCGATTGTGATTGGTACTCTGTTGTTGTTGTTGTTGTTGTTGTTGTTGTTGTTGCTGTTGTTGCGATGATATCAGAAGATGATGATGCTGTTGTTGCGGTTGCGGAGGAGGCGGTGGTTGTGGCAGTGACGTGGTGGTCGACACGACCGGTGCCAGAGCCACGTTAGGCTGGTAATGCGGCTCGAAGCGCTCCCACTCGGATACAGGCACGACCCTCTCGGGATTCTGAAGTACAGGTGGTCCTCGGCTGAGATACGGTGGCACACACGGTGAGCTGCGAGAAACAATGAACCAGGCTCAATTTAAACGTGCTTAAGAAGCAATTTTTCATGCCAAAAATTTACTATATGAATCGTCGAGAAAAAAACCAGTGCGTAAAATGCGGGTGTTTTTCGCAAACGCCTGGGCATATTATGAGCAAAAATATAATGCACATGACTCTATGCGCATCGTATTGCGGGTGCGTTATGCGAACGGCCTTTTTTTTTCTCGCACTCGCGCTGGGGCGATTACAATTAACTCGCTCAGTGCCTTCATTTCGCGCTACGGCTCGGCATTATTATACGAAAAGCTCAAAGACTCTTTTGCGAGCCTTTTGCAAAGAGAAAAAAAGATATAGCCCGAGCGAGCGAGAGGGAGAATAAATAATTGTATGGCTTTATATGTACAGTATAGCAAGCGCTCTATAACGCGGAGTAAAGCGGCGGCGGATGAGCGAGCGCAAGTGCACAGAGCGAGCGAGCGAGAGAGAGAGAGAGGAATGAAAAAAATTTCACGCTGCTGATGAGGATGATAACAATAACGTTGAATAAAACCATCGCGTTCGATGCACTGGAATCGCACACTTTTTTCTATCCATTCTCTCTCTCTCTCTCGCTCACTCGTTCCCTCGACCATCGGCAGCGGTGGCGGTGTATTTTATATGTACGCTATTTTCTTTCCCTTGGCCCCGGCTCGCGGCAGCGGTGCACATCTCTCTCGCGCGCGCTTCTGCCTATGGTCATAGTGGCGTGACCACCTTGCGGTCGCTATTACAGAAACTGACGCGAATACAATTAAAGTCGTGTACGTGTAAGTGTGTGTTTGTGTGTGTATGCGCGAGCACACCGGCCGCAGCTTGCATTTATTCGCACGTGCTTTTTTAAATATGAGGCTAATGCACGCGAAGGCGTATCGCGCGCCGCGCTGTTATAAATAGAATATAATAATGTATCGGATGGACGCGCGGATAGGTACATAATATACATAGAGACGATGAAAGGAAGAGAAAAAAACTTATGAATGACCGATCAGAATTTCTGAATAATGAGTTCATGCAGGCCAACCGCGTGGGCACATAAGACTGACTATACATATAGAAAACAAAGTCTATTACCGTACTCTATTTATAAATATAAAGCCGACACACGATCGTTACGACCAAAAAAAGTCGTGCCGTGCGCTTGCGAGCGTTTAAGCTTTAGGTACGATTTGTATTTGAAGTAAGAAAAAAACGGGAAAGAAAAGAGGCAAAATTAAAATAAAACATCGCGTACGGCTAATATACGGTAGTACGAGCTGGATAGGAAAACTCGAGAGGTAAAAAAAGTGTCGAGTCGATTGGCGACTGACTATGTGGGGCTAAGTGCGTGTGCGTTTCGAGATTATTGTATACTATATACTCCGAAAAGTCTCGATAACGAGGCTATTTATTTATCGTATACACACGCACACACGTAGTACAGCGTGCGTCCGTGCGTCTCAACTATATAATGTCGCGCGCGCGCGCGAGATCGAAAACACGCCATCGCGGACACTCGATAAGCTAATCGTGAAGTGACCTTCGCCTTTGCGCAAAAAAAAAAAAGAACGACGACTGTCGCTGCTTCTGTCGCGCGTTCCGTTTTAAATACTCACCAAGGCCTCTGTTTGGAAGCCATCATTGAATTCCAAGGTCGGAAAGCCGACGTTTCTCTCGTCGCCATTTCCAGCAGTGCCCATCCCATCCTCACGTAGGATTCGGGATCGGTTTGTGCGGCGAGCGGCGAATTGTAGTAAATGGGAGGATAGGCGCCGTTGGGAGGGCCGTAAGAAGCGGGCCCCAGCGGGGTCGGCGAGGCCGACTCGTCCTTCTGCAACGGCGTCGAGAGCAGCTTGGGCTTCTTGATCGGCTGGAATGGATCCAGCTGCAAAAATAATCCACAAGGTTCTCGTTTAATATTTCAACTGACCGAGAAAGATTCGTGAGAGGTGTGTGTGTGTGTGTGTGTGTGTGTGTGTGTGTGTGTGTGTGTGTGTGTGTGAAAATTCACTCTGTGCATAAGTGTATACGTTGTAAATGCTTATATATACGTATATATATGCATGCACCGCATGTATGTGTAAAAGGTGGAGCAGCAGTAGCCCCTCGGCGCTTATATACGACAAGTGCGATGAACTTTTCGACGTATCGATTGACGCGGTTAATTTTATACGAACCCGTTCGATGCTCCGCTCTGCTCATTCTATCGTTCTCTCTCTCTCTCTCTCTTTCGGTGTGATGACCAAAAAAAATTGCATATAGCTGTCGCGTTATTCAGTCTTTTTCCAGGCCAGTCCAGCAATTTTTTTTCTGTCTTTTTTTTACTAGATTTGTTATCGAACACATATTACACTCGCATGTAATATACCAAGTGCGAAGAGCAGATCGGATCAAAGTCACGCGTGTGTACAAAATAAAAATCGTTGCGAAACTCAGACAAACATACGAGTTGTTCTTTATTGCGACTTTGGATCGTTGAGGAGATTCAAGAGAGTCGATGAAATGCAATTTTATATAGAAAAAAAATGCAAGTATTAAGTTCTCATACGTTTTTTCATGGAAATAAAATTTTTCACCGTGACATTTTATTGCATAAAAAAGTCACGGTGAAAAAAAATTTATCGCTTCGAATAAACCACTATGTGATATAAAAAAGTACGTGTTTATGGAAAAGTCAATAATAAACAATTTAACCGGTAAAAGTAAATCTTTTTAGTTTTTAAGAAATAAATTCTAGCGAATAAAACTTATAGAAGATTACAATAAATTAAAAAAATAATATTCTTTTAATCTTTGAATTTGATGATTTTTTAATTTTTAAAGCATAATTACAACTATCATTTGATGTACCAGTTCATGGAGAAAAAATATCAAATTTTTAAATTTCAAAATTGGTTGTGTATTATTTTACGTTATTAGCATAGAACTTCCTCGCTATCTTCAATGACTCTGAAATTATCTTAACTGAACTGCGAAATTATAAGCGATTCACAGAGCATACACACACAAAAGCAGATCCAGTTAGATAGATAATATCTCCGGCGCGGCTCTCGATCGATAGGTGTTATAGTATTAAGCGTGCTGTATATATAGACGAAGACAGACCGCGAAAGAGAGAGGTCACACGGCTCTTTTTCTTTCTCTCTGTCTCTTTTTTTTTACTCTTGCATCGGCACTGGTGGTGACGCAGAGAGAGAGACAGAGAGAGAAAGAGAGAGAGAGAGAGATTAAATTTTCCGTCAAAGTAGATATACGTTTACTACCACTATGAACTTTGACGCGACAAAGTGAAAAAAAAGAGAGAGAGGTGAAAAAAAAATTACGTTAGGTTCGCGACTGCACTCGAGCGTCGATATTTTTTTTTCTCCTCTTTCTCGCGCGCGCTCGGATAAAAATCGACGTGTTAGCTTTGCAATTCTCGATGCGCTGCAAATTCGCTACGTACGATTGTAAATTAATGCGTGTAAACACGATTATACTCCCTCTTCCCTCTCCAACTCTCCCCTTCGATACACTTCGTGCTTATATCTTCCTCAAATATTGATTCGATTTTCTGCTGTTGTTGCTTCTCGCGATGCTGCTGCTCCGAATCCGAGTTGAGGCGCAGGTGATAGTGTATAAAAATGTAACGGTGTTATTTCGAGTCACACAAACTCACCTCGAGCTTCCGCTTGATGTCGAACCTCTTTTTCTTGACCTGCTCGAAAGCCTCCTCGACTTTGGGATCGTCCTCGTCCCAGGCCATGAGGTAGTTGCGCCACGAGGTCGAGTCGAAGCCCCAGTGACAGGTGAAGTTCTCGGGCTTGCCGTGCCGATGCCGCACGAAGTGCTTGGGCTGCATCTGGTACTTGCACTCGATGCACTGCACGCATTTGGAGTCCTCACTCAAAAACAGCTCGATATCGAACAAGCCGTAGCCGCGACCGAAGCAACGGTGATGCACCAGTATGAGCTTGATGCCGTCGACGTTGTGGCGCTCCAGCAGTTCCTTCTTCAGATGCCTGATGCGATTGAGCACGTCGCTCGTGCCCAGATGCCCAGGATGATGATGATGCGGATGATGAAAGTCGAGCGAGTTCGGCTCGCCGCTTCGCAGCGCGAACAGGGGCGTCGGCGACTCCTGGGCCAGCGTGAGGGCACCCACGAGGCGCTCGGCGTCCGTCTGGGTGATGAGGCCGCAGCTCGAGGCTCCGGCGGGCAGCACCCCCGAGTCCTTGAGCTCCTGCAGCTGCTCGCTCGTGCAGCGCGAGCAGTTGATTCGAAGCTCGTCGCACAGCGCGTTGATCTGGGCGATCGAGAAGTCCTGCAGCACCGTGTTGAGCAGCTGGGGCAGGCACAAGCGACGCTCGCCGCCCACCACGAAGCAGGATATGTAGTCGCCGTCGAGCAGCGTCTCGCCGTGCGCGGAGCAGTGCTTGTCGGGCGCCGACAGGATCGGAATCGGAAACTCCAAGTGGTGCTTCTTCTCCCGCTCCTGTGTGTGTGTGTGTGTGTGGACGACGATCGATTGCAATAAAATGGAAAAAAGAAATAAATGAAATGAAAAGCCATTCGGTACGCGGCTATATAGAGATCAGGATTTAATCTGTAACGTATTAAAGCGCGCAGGCAGGTGGTAGCCTCGATCAATCGTCATTTATCAGCGCGGGATTAGACTTAATTCGCGCGAATTAACGGCGATTAAATGTATTCGCATGTATGCGCACGAGCAAGGAATTTTCGTTACATTTACTTATAATATATCTCGTGAGGGCAAAATAGCTTTCGCAAGTGTGTACACACTGAGCATAATATAAGGCGAGCATATAGTGCAGCAACGGAGAGGACGCGGACGCGATAATCGAACGAGGTCGACGTCGTACGCGGCGTCGCGCCGTTGCGTCGAGAATTGCCCGCGTTTGTCTCGCTCCGTAATGTACACATACGTACATATAATAATCCAAACTAATGCGAACGATTACTTTTTTAATTTGAAAAACTGAGACCGTGCCGCGAATATAAAGGAGACTACTTTACTTCATACGAGCCGCGAGAGGCGCGTCGTTTGAACGCCACTACACCGATTCGGTCGTCGTCGTCGTCGTTGTTGTTGTTGTTGTTGCGGCTACTCGGCTTGACAGGTGCATATTATAACAGTCGCGCAAGACGCAGCGCGTACTACATACATGGAAATGCTCTTTAGGCGCGACCAAACAACATAAACAACTACAACAACGATAACAGTACAGCTAAGCGGCAATGACGGAGCTGTAAAGTTTTCGCGAAAAATTATTAAAAAAAAAAAAAAAAACAGCACAGAAAGCAACTCGAGACACGAGTTGGCACTTTTTTGTTCGCTCGGCATTTGCATCTCTCTACCCTGTATACGTAAACACCCAGGGAATTTGCTCCAAAAATACGTAAACAGAATATAACACGGCGAGGATTTTTAGTATAGCTTGGAAATTCGAAACGGTCGTGGCCCCGGTACATATAATATACGAATGATCGAGCACACTGCAACAGGTGTACACGCGCGAGAGAGCACGAGGATCGCGGGTGGACAGGCGGGCGCGGGGAGTAAGTAGGCGACTCTCGAGAGAGAAAGACAACGCTCGAACGTACCTTCATCATGGCATCGGGTGGATCGTCGTCCGCGTCGTCGATCAGCGGCCTCAGCCTCAGCACGTCTTTGCTGTATTTCAGTGGCTGCGGCGACGACGAGGCCGACGAAGCCGACAAGGCCGGTGTCGGCGTCGTCGACGTCACCGTCTGCTGCTGCTTTTTGCTCGGCAGCACCGTGGTCGTGGGCACCACCGTCGCGGCGGCGCTCGTCGTCAGACAGGTCGGCGGCACCGGCGCCAAGCCGACCACGGGCTTGATGGGCTCGGGCAGCAGTATACCGGGCCCGGGCGAGCAGGCCGCGCCCGTCATGGCCGCGGGCGGCATGCCGATGACGCCACTGCTGTTGGTGGTGGTGGTGGTGGCGGCGGCCGCCGCGGCGACGACCCCGTAATTGGCGTAGGCCGTTGCGGCGGCCACCGCCGCGGCCGCGGCTTTGGCGGCTGCCGCCGACTCGTGATACATGAGCGCCGCCGTCTTGCAGTCCATGGCGTAGATGGCCGAGCTCGGGCCCTGCAGGCTCTTCAAGGCCGACATCTTGAACTTCTTGAGGACGCTGTTGATCTGCGGCGTGTTGTAGGCGGAGGGCGACGTCGACGAGTCGACCGGCTGTGGCTCGTCGGCGCCGTTCGGTCGTTGGACGTGCGGATTGTGATGATGATGATGGTGATGTTGGTGATGGTGATGATCAGTCTTCATTGTGGCGGCTGCTACTGCTTTGGAGTCAATGTCACTTTTTTTTCACGTCGTTCGTTGCAACACACGACTGCAACGACGGAAGACTTGACTGCTGCACCGTGACGTGCATATCACACACTCAAACACACAGACACAAGCACTGCAGAGCACGAGCACTTGGTGTAACGCGCGCACTGTTTCTCTTGTCACGGGCACGTGTAATTTGTAATATATGTATATTTGCTAGTGCGTGAAAACGTGCGCGTGTGCCATGTATATCGCACGAATTACATATAAATTCGTACTTTTTAATTTGACTGTTGCACACACACACACAACACACATACACACACACTTTTGTACACACAAACACACTTGTATAATACACAAACACGCGCTTATGCAAAGTGCGAGAGATTCACGGCGCTCGCACGATGAGGCGCTTTAACGACACATTTTTCTCATCTCCAGCTTGGAGGCACGCACGGAATAACAATATGATCGCGCGTGCACATTTCTCACTGCTTAGTATTTGGCAGAAAAAAACAACTTTTTGTCATTACTGTGCACACAACTCCGTTGCTTCTGTTGTTGCTGCGCTGCACTTGTAGACAGAGCTCTGCAATTCGACACGAAAAGCACACAATTAATTTTTTTTTATCAAAAATGAAACAGAATAAAATGAACACGACGAGGAGAGTTATTAAAAAAATTTCACTGCAGTATTATATCGTAAACTGACGGGGAAAAGTGCAGTCGTTGACACGAGCGTCGCGATAGCTGCATTTGCAGACGACTACTGCTATTGCTACTAATTCTGCTACTGCTGCAACGAGTATAACTGTGACTGGCTGCTGCTGCAGCAGCTAATTCCGCATCGAAAATACGACGATAAAAATCATGCAGGTCGCTCTCCGTTACTGCTGCTGCGGCTGCTGCTGCTGCTGCGTCGCTCTTCGTCTCGAGCATTTAGAGCGAGTTAAGAGTCGCACAGAATATAAGCAGGCAACGTTTTATATAGAGAAAAGAGACGACGACGACGACGACTGCAGCTCAGCACAGTAGTAGTGCACTGCAGCGGCAGCGACGAAAACACGCGCGCGGCGCAGCGCAGTTTGCGAAAACAAGCCAGAGCGACGCAGACCGCCGCGACCGTGCAAAAAAGTATATAATACAAAAGTCGGAGCAGCAGCAGCTCAGCGCGCGCGGCGAGGCAGCAGCATACTACTTATAGTCGACGGAGCAGTAGCAGCTTAAAAGAGAACACACCAGACACACTCGTCGTCGTCGTCTTGGTTGTTGTTGTGAGTAGACGACGTCGTCGTCGTTCTCTCACAGCGACGCACACATATGTACTGTATACCGTGCCGCTATTGCAGACTGCTATAACGCGGCGCGGTGGCGGTGGCGGCGGCGGCGACGGCCCCGCAGAGTCGACTCTTGGCCATTGTATCTTTACGTGTATGTGTGTGCGCGTGTATATGTATATATAGCAAGGTAGTAGTAGTAGTTTGCGCTCCGTGTTATGTACGCCGCCGCGCTCCGTTCTGCGCGCGATTCCGAGCGAGTCTGATGAGCGAGCGGGCGCGCAAATAGTAGAGAGAGAGAGAGAGAGAGAGAGAGAGAGCGAAGAGAGCCGCAGCTATACAGCACAGCGGCAACAGCAGCAGCAGCAGCAGAGCGCAGAGAGTGAGAACTTGTATTATAAAAGGAGGGGACGGCGGACGCGCGTCCTCGAAGGTCGTGAGGGGCCGACGTTGCTGCTGCTGCTGTCGTTCTCTCTCTCTCTCTCTCTCTCTCTCTCTTTTTCGCTCGACACACCAGCACACACGACGAAGACGACGACGAAGCTCGAGAATCTCTGTGCTCCGCGCGCTCGTCTCCGTCTGGATGTACTTGATACGAGTTTGTGTGTATGTGTGTACTGTGTACAGAGAGTATGTTTATATATTCGCGCGCGCGTATATATAGATAAATTCTACTGGCTGCTGCTACATAGGTATATATTATAGAGATATGCACATTGGCAGTAGCATGAGCCGAGGCGGCAACGGAGCAGCAGTATATATAAAGACGACAACGAACGAAGCACACGGAACAACGGTGAGTCGTGCTCTCTTGCGAGTAGCAGCACTTTACTACTCTCCTCGACGAGTAGTAGTAGCGAGAGAGAAAGATGTATGTATGTACGTCTGTGTGCGTATATAAATGCACTTCGCGATATAGACTGCAGTGCATGCAGTAGTATGCACAGACGACGACGACGACGCACTCACAGGCACAGAAATTGCAGCAGTAGCAGGCCTACATCTCGGGGGGATAAATATAATACTGCATTGAAATTTGAATTTTCAAAATATATGCACACACACACACACCTACACTATTTATGGCACTGTGCTCCTCTGCACGTATATACTCTGACAGGGAGCGAGAGAAGCAGACGCAGTCGAGCGTTGCGAGATGCAAACAACACCACTATACGGAGAGCACCACTTATAGCCGTTTATTATTCTCTCCTTTTTTTTTTTCTTTCCTATCGTTTCTTCTTCGTCTTCTTGTTCTTCTTGTTCTTCTGCAGAGCGCCCCGATGTGCAAAATGTATCGTCGAAAATCGATCGAGTACAGCGTGTGTTGTACCGCTGCTGTTGCAGAGCACCAACGTCAATTCTGCTGCAAACGCGAACTGCATCCAACGAGATGAAGCGCGGGCGAAGAATATATATGAAATAATACGCGCTACATTTTTTCAACGAACGCGGGGTTTATTTGGCGCTTTTTAGAGCAGCAGAGGCTGCAGCAGTGCGTGCAAATATATTCTCTGTATCGCTGCGCTGAGCTGCTGCTTCGGCTTCGGCTGCTGCTGCACACGGGTCATAATTTAACTCGCGCGTGCGAATAGATCTCTGCGATGCTCCGCACTCATATATATATCTCTATCTATAAAGAGCAGCGTGCGTTGTGTCGGGGGGCCGGCGGCTGCTGCAGTGATGCAGCTCACTGCACTACCGTATATATGCACACGTTCTATACGTGTACGCGTGTGCGAATCTACTGTATATCTATATGTACGTGTTTACTATAATAACGGAGAGCGCAGGGGCACTGCTGCTGCAGTGGTGGACGCACGTCGACTAGCAGACTACAGCCAGGCGCATAAAGAAGTTCACCAGACGGACGAGAGAGAGAGAGAGAGAGAGAGACGACGACGACGTCGGCTGGCGGCGGCGGCGGCTACGACGGCGACGGCGTTGGCGGTGTATATAGGTATATATCCTACATACACATATATATTCGCAACGCGCGCAATATTATACGACGACGAGAGAGTCGTGCAGAGTTGCTGTGCTGCGCTGCGGTGGTAGTGGTGCGGTGGTGTGGAGGTGGCGGCGCGGGGCGCTGGTGCTGCCTGGTCGTATATATACACTACTATATACTCTCTGGCTTGGCTGGCTGGCTGGCTGGCGGTGGGTACTGGTGGCGGCGGTGGTGGTGGTGTCGTCGCGTCGCGCGCAGCAGCCAGTAAGTGCAATAAAGTCTGGCTAGCGTCTGCACGATATGCAGCAGCAGAAGCAGGCACTGCACTGCATTGCACTCGTGTGCGTGTGTATGTGTATATGCGTTTGTACGAGTAGGGGGTCCTTTACACCGCTGCGCGCACACACACATACTAGGCACACTGTTTTATGCGCTATATAAGTATGCTGCTCTGCTACGCTATGCACCGTGCTGCACATGTATGTGTGTGTAAGTGTATGTGTGCATGCAACCGATCGAGTGCGAATCGATGTTGCCGCGCTGTGCTCCGCTACTGCGAGAGAGCTGCTGCTGCTGCTGCTGCTGCTGTGTCTCTCTCCGTCTCTTACTCCGGTTATGAGCGCACACAAATACTACACATAATAATTGTGTATAAGCTTAATCGTGTGAAATAGTATTCACGCGTTTCGGGCGCGTAACGCTATATATGGAATAAAAATGTTATCTCATGATGCGCGATGATTCGGAGCACCTTGAGTACGCACCTTGAGCTCGCTCGGCAGCTCGACAAAAAAAAAGATGATTATACTCTAGGCAGACCATATTTTCTAGGCGTACATTACGCGAGAGCTAAGTAAAGGTAGCATACATATTACGCGAGCGGATCGATCCCAGAATGTCTGCTGCTGCTGCTGCTGCTGCTGCAGCAGCGGAGCAAAGTCGGAGCAACTAGCAGCAGCTCGCCGTTATACTCTTTATATGCTGCAGCGCGTGCATATATACACGTAATAATGATAATAATAATGATAATAAATGTGCCCTGGCCCTGGTCTTGTGTGTCTCGCGGAGCTCGAGCTCTCTCGCTCGCGCCTCAGTAATGTAGCACACTGCGCGTTGCTGGTATATTATATAGCCGCAGTCCCAAGTCCGCAAAGTAAAGTAGTAGTCAGCGGCGGCGGCCAACTCTTGTGTGTATATTTATGTATGTGTCGCGCGCTCACGATCTCTCTCTCTCTCTCTCTCTCTCTCTCTCTCTCTCTCTCTTTCTTTTCGCGCATATATACATACATATACACAGACTGTCAGTCGCTGGCCTGGCGGCTGTCAGTGTCTGTGTTTGTGTTATGTACACGTACGCGAAAGACTTGTTGTTGTGTCGGAAGGCGAGCGAGCGCGCGCTCCCGACGCGCGGCTGCTTGTGTCAGACAGACAGCGGCAGCAGCGGCGGTAATGCGCATACTCGCTCTCTCTCTCTCTCTCTCTCTCTCGTACACACATACACACGTACATGCAGCTTTTATAAGTGTAAATGCATCTATACAGATGCACGTATAGGTATATGGTCGAGCTTGGCTGCCGCCGCAGCAGCCGAAGCCAGCAGAAGCATTGACGCGCGTCTTTGTGTGTGCGTGTAAACCTATGCTGCGTGCATTCGATGTTGTATCGCACGCATACACGTACATAAGGCGAGTCGCTCGCTGCCGCTGCTGTTACTCTTGGCGGATCACCACACACGCCTGCAAAACTGCACTGCTTCTCCCTGCATCATTGCAGCTCCGTATAAAGCTGCTGCATACGCAGGCTCGTCGTATAATATAAACGTGTGCGTGTGCACGTCGACTTTTTGCCTCGTGTGCGTGTGCGTGAAGTAGTAGTACTGCTGTTAGCTACTGCACAAGCGCTTCGCTCGTGGTACATGAGAGGAGAAGCCGACTGCAATCGTATGTGTGCGTGTATCTCTCTCTCTCTCTCTCTCTCTCTCTGTATGCACTTCGATAGATATAGCTGCAATTTCCAGCGTGCACGTTCACGCGGTGTATATATAGCTCCGCATAAGCTTCGTGTGTGCATGTGCATGCGTACATATACATGCAACACGCGTACAGAGTGAAAGAGAGAAAGAGGAAGACAACGTGTCACGCGCTTATCTCTCTCTCTCTCTCTCTCTCTCTCTCTCTTTTACTCTCTCGTCGGAGTGGCGACGGCGGACTGGCGCGCCGTGAATTTTATTTATCTCTGCGACTGCGACGACGACGAGACTTGAGACTCTCGCAAAAGTTAGCCAAGTCCAGCCGAGAGCAGCAGCACGCGGTATACGTACTGTATACACTACCACCATTCGACGCAGTATTATACATACAGAGATATAGATATAACAGCAGCATTTCGACGCCGCTGTCGTCGCTGTCTTTTTCCTCTCTCCCTCTCTGTATATGTATAAAACGCGTATGAGGACGCGTATTTATATTGGATACATAATGAGACATGCGACGTAAACAATGCGGCATATCGTAAGATGACGCATCGAAGTGCGAGTTTGGTACGGTTGCGCTTTTTTTGTGCTCAAATTCGCAGTGACCACGACATTTTGGAGCTTTAACGCAGTCACGCATTGGAATTTATTAAAAACCCAACATTCGTGCCCTTCCGAGGGATGATATTTTTCGATGACGCGACAGCGACACGGGGAAAAACGGACGTGTCCAGCTCATTGCTCGCTGTTGTATATAGCGGGATAACTCCAGTAAATTGAACTGCACAAAAGCGCGAATCAACAGCTAGGTACTGTATTCGTAATATAGCGGAAATTTATACACACACATACACACTCGCACGAGAGCGAGAGAATTGGGTAAAGAAAAAAAGGGCGAGCGAGAGCAGTGCCAAGAGGGGGGTTGTGTGTTGGGTTTGGCCCGATCCGCACGACACATTGTGACGGAATAGGAATGTACTACATATAGAGCAACAGCAGTAGCAGCAGTAGCTCGCAAATGTGCACTGTACGTGTATATGTAATGCCGATGGCGAGAGACGACCTGCTTTCGCCTCTTGTGCATGTATATATATGCCATAGTCTGCGAGCGGAGCCGAGCTACCCCCTCGCCCCACACACACACATACATTCTCAACGCACACGTACATACACGTCGAATTTGCGCGAGAGCGAGTATTTTCCCGACGACCGCGTGTGCTACTACCTCCTGCATGTATAAAGGTATATAGGTATATAGCCTGTACAGGCAGACACATCGGAAAAACCAGCTGCGCAAACGACCCCCTTCGCCCTACTTTCGACCTAGTAGCAGCAGCAGCTCGATCCGCCCGAAATCCCGCAGCAGCTCTCCACTCCGTCTCTCGCTCTCTGCGGCATATATCGCCAGCGATTATTCCCAGAGTCTCGTCAAAGTCTCGCTCAGCGGCGTATAATAATAATTAATAATAATAATAATAATAATACCGTCCAGGCTCAAAATTATGCGATGCAGCGCGGAGAGCACCTTCATTGGATTTTCTGGTCTTTCGTTGGAAAATGTCAAGCATCGAATTACTCGAGCGCATGTACGTTGTATGCATATATTCAGTTGCATTCGCGACGACGACGGCCGCAACGACGAGGCATTGTTTTTTTTTGCACGCGCGTGCAGGACTCGCTGAATTTACTAGGCATCGAAATAAAAAAAAAAAAAAAGTTGGTAAGTCTTATAAGGGACGACGCAGTACTGTACGGAGTTACACGTGTCTGTTCCTGCGTGAGGTCATAGACCTCGGGGTTCTCTCTCTCTCACTCACATACACACACCCCCTCGAATACGTCGAACGTATATTATAAAAGCTTCGACGACGCACAGCAGCAGCAGCGCACATGAGGGAATCTTGATCCGAGGTCACACACGCATAATATACGCATTCCCCTCTATACACGTGTGCTGTTGCTGATGCTTCTACTGCCGCTGCCGCTGCTGCTGCTGCTGCTGCTGCTGCTGCTGCTGCTGCTGCTGCTGTTGTGGTGCCTTTATAGGTAAGGTCATATTATAGGACACCGTATACCTATATATAGGTAAAAGAGAGTCGAGCGAATTGGAGTTTCGGCAGTGGCCGAATTTTCCCAGCCCCTTTGCGCGCGCCCGGGTAATAATACGTTTCTCTCCCCTCCACGTGCGTGCGTGCTTGTATTTAGTTTCTTCCTCTTATTTATTAAGCTTCCACCGTACGGGCCGGCGAAAAATATATGTGTGTATCCTACGCGCTATACTACACTGTCCTGGCGGACACATACACGTTAAACGAGAGCATACACATAGCGCGTTGAGTCGATTACGTTTTATATGCGCCACTATTCTCTTTCTTATTTTCCCCCTTCTTCTTCTTATTTTTTTCTCGGCTCTTCTCCGTGTGCTCGTTGTTCTTGTGCCTTTTTGTCTCTTTCATTTTTATATACTTTTTCCTTTACCTATATTACACACACACGCACATTCGCACACAAGCACACGCATAAACTGCGAGTCAAATGCGTAATATCGTTCCGAGCGCGAGAGAGAGAGAAGGTTTTTGCCTCGAGGAAAAAAACAGACACGACCCGCAACATGCCTTTATAGCCTGTGCATAGTAGCGCTCCTCGAGAACTTGAGCGAGAGACAGATACAACTATCAAGAATGTTTGAATGTTATTCGGACGAATTTGGTATTACTCAGGCTTTTGTGTTATAAGGAGACGACGTCGTCGGGTAAACGATCGTCGGTTTATTTTTCTCGTTAAACGGCGTGCTTTTTCTCTCTCGCTAGCTCGTGCTGTGTGTGTGCTCTTGCGCTTCCCAAGGACGTCTAGAATCCCGGAGAATGACGAGTAGACGAGAGTCGCATACATATAGCGGAGCTCTATAAGTCGCGAGATCTCGA